ACGTAAAAAAAGAAGGCGAATTGGCGGGTCTGGAAGAAGAAGACGACGGGTGCGTTCGCTCCTGATATCACCTTCGAGTTCGAGCTCCGTTTGGATCTCTGTATGATGGTTTTGTTTTCATTTTATACCCTCAAAATATTCGTATCGTGTTGCTAATTCGGAATCGCGAATGGATTGAGGTATTTCCTCCTTGTTTTGATAGGTTGCGTTTTCTTTGCTCTTAATGTTATGTATGAAGAATTTTGGCTTCTCCTCTTTTTGTGGTTGTTTTACTTCGGTGTTCCTCCATTTTTCTCTTTGAATGTTGTTGCGAGCTTTCTTCATTTGGCTTCTTGCTCTTTCGTTTGCGGGGATTTCCCATTATCCAACTCGATGAGTGCTTTCGAGAACTCTCGGGAGGAGGAAAAGAACGTTATATAGATTTGATGATAGAATGCAAGTGGAAACGTGAAGAATTTAACAGAGGCTATATGCTTAGCATTTTCTCTAAACTACTTGACGAGGAGAGTAGTCCATGCGTTTGTTGCCGGTTTTGTTAGGAGGTCGTTGTATGTACGGTTCAGTTGAGGAAGCGGTTTTGTGGAAGCTTCATTGATGACCTATGGTTTGCTTTGTGACCGCACTTGAGATAATGCTAGCATTGTGATTCGTTTCAATTTAAGATTGTAGAAGGAAATCAGTTTGTTGTACTTGTGGTGTAAAGGAAATGTACTTAAGAGTCTCTTAGGCGTTTGATCATAAACAACCGCCAGAGGTTCATGACTTAAAATGAGTATTTAAGTTGCATACCTTAAAATTATAAATTGTCAGATTACAATAATGTTTGTTGACCATGAAACAAGATCCTCCAAAAGGAGGTACTCTTCTTTTTTCGTTTCATTAGTTTTGCTATTTTGAATGAAGAACCATTATTTTACTGTGGCTAGTCCCGCTTGATACCATGTAGATGGAAATTATGCTATTTTATTCATGTGTTTAGGAACGGGTTTCCCAATAGAATCCCAAATGTAGGAGTACTTCGATATTTTATATGGAGTTAGTACATATGATATGTTTCAGCAGATAGTAGAAACTACTAAATCTATGGTCAATCTTTTCGTATTCTTTCATTTTTCTCCATCAAAGCTTTGTTTTCCATAAAAAAAAAAAAAAAAAAATCTATGACCAATCCCCTCTGTTTCTTAATGGTGATTTCAGGTGAGTACATATTGTTCAAAGAAGTTCCACGAATTACTAGCAGAAGAGTGGGTTAGAGGAGGTGGTTCTGACAACAGTCAGAATGGGCGGTGGGAAAAGGCACTGACAAGGTCTTATGAGAGGGTAGATGATGCCTTCAAGGACAAAACTCTTGCACCATATTCGGCTGGATCGACAGCTTTGATTGTTCTTCTGTCAGCATGTCAGATAATTGTTGCCAATTGTGGTGATTCTAGAGCTTTGCTTTGTCGTGGGAGTAAAGCCATCCCACTGACGGCTGACCACAAGGTTCTATTAGAATTCTTAATCTGTCTCGCTTTATGTTGCTAAAATTTTATAGTTAGCCACAATAATTAACACGACTTCATTATTAGATTAAAATTTTCCTTGGACTGTTTACTAGAAATTTCAATCAGCATTTTATATATGTACATGTACACAATGTGCATTATCTATCATTAGATTTTATTTCTTCCATTTATCTCTCTTCCATGGAATGGATAGGTCGGGGTTGGATTTTAGATGATGAAGGTGGTCATAGGGTTCAACGGGCTTACTTGTTACTAACTGTTTTGCTATATATATTCTGTAGGCATTTTTGCTATCTTTGACATGGTCATACCTAATTGAGTCATTACCTCATTTCTAAAATTGGAAGGTGAGAGTAATGTCTGCAGCATTGGAAGAATCAGATTGTATATGAACTGGGTATATCAGATTATGTTTATTTTTCATTAGAGTTTCATTTTTTGATTGTACATATAGAAATTAGACCATGGAGATTCTTGATTTTTGTATCATATTCCAGATTATGGCTGCCAAATGCGTTAGCTCCTAAATCAATATTTTCTAAATTGTGGCTGAGCCTTTATTTAAGTTATACGTTATAATCTGCATGTTCAGATAAATTAAAGACGAGTCATATGTATGATTTGGCTGCACAAATTTGCATATGTTAACAATACGGTTCTCATATTTTCCCCTTTCTGATGCAGATTAGTAGGCCTGATGAATATGATAGACTTGTTAAGGGAGGAGCAAGAATCCTGTTTCTGGGCTGCCCTAGGGTCGAAGGAGTACTGTCTATGACTAGAGCAATAGGTTTCCTCTGACCCACTTCTTCCTTTTTTTCCTTTGTTGGTGGGGGGTTGTATCTAATTATGTGGTTGTATTCATTTTTTGACACTCGAAAATTTGCTCTCATGTTCATCAAATTGTAAGGCACTCCGCTAAGTTATGCTCATTAGCAAATTGGTTCATCGTTGCTCTGATGCATATTGTTGGAGAGTCAAGTTAGTAATGTGTTATCATCCATAAGCTTGAGCAAGAGCATTAAACTAGCTTGGCAAAAATAGGTTATGTTGCCCTGTCAAGTTTTCTTTACCATTTTAATGTTTTCCGTTCTTGCCAAACGAAATCATCATTCACTAAGCTCATCTCCTTGTACTGATATAGTTTCACCTTCGTTTTTATTGTTTGAGAGTCAAGTTAGTAATGTGTTATCATTCATAAGCTTCTGAGCAAGAGAATTTAAACTAGCTTGGCAAAAATAGGTTATGTTGTCCTGTCAAGTTTTCTTTACCATTGTAATGTTTTCTGTTCTTGCTAAACGAAATCATTGTTCACTAAGCTTATCTCCTCTCCTCRTACTCATATAGTTTCTCTCGCGTTTTTATTGTTTGAAGTTATCAAATTTTGCAATTACTTATTTTTATTGTGGCGACTTCCACCATTCTAATTTCTAATTTCGAACATGTTTCTGCTTCAGGTGATCATTACTTAAAACCATGGGTTATATCTGAACCAGAGGTTACATTTATGTCAAGGACTGAAGAAGACGAGTGTTTGATTTTGGCAAGTGATGGAGTATGGGATGTCTTGTCTAATGATGATGTGATGAAGATGGCTTGCAGCATACTGAGGAGGAAACGCAGGAAGTTGGCGTTAGGAGGAATTCATAATGCAATTTGTCCGGCACAATATGTTGCAAATAAAATCCGCAAGGTAGCCAGTCATTTGAGTGGTGACAATATCTCAGTCATTGTAGTTGACCTGAAGCACCAAATGAAGGAGCTGCAACATAAGGGGTGAAAGCAGTATCACCATACAGGTTGGCTGGGCAGAAGCACGGTGATCCTTTCTAGAAACTGGACTTRGACTTGTGCTGTAGTTAAATAATTGTACAAATCCCTTCAGCGCCTTTACCCTATCTAATCTAGTTTGTTAGAGAGGCTTGCTGTGTATTTTTATATACGTAATTCCAACCTTGTATTCTATTTTTGCATGCAATTATGTATCAACCTCACCCAAGTTCCTTTCACCTTTGAAACTCCTTTCATCTTAAATTAATTTGCGGTTTTGAATGAAATAATTTTAAAGCTCTTTGCAATACAGAACATGTATGCAGTGGTGCGTGTGTAGCTAATCAATGTACGTATACATGTGATGCTTCATCATAGTTTTTAGTTATTGGGTGTTAAAAGTTTTTTGTCCATCTTTGGATCAACTTGATGAATAGGTAGTACTTAGATTGTTTCTTTTTTAGGTTACTACGAGGACTCGTATGGGCTTATTTGGATAACACTTTGGTGAATGGAGCAAAAGCTACACATAGTGGAGATGCTGCTTCCAATAATTTCATATTTCCAAGGAACGGATTCTTATGAGGATGAACAGAATTGATGCTGCAACAGAAGGAATATCTGCGTAAAGCTCATTGAGAAAAGCAACCGTAAAGGTAAGCTTCTATATGATTGCAACCAACACGCATAAGTTTGGATTATTCTCAATGAACACATTCTCGATTAGGAAAGGTACAATGGGATTCTCTTTTTCGTTATCTCCGCTCACCTGAGAAGGCCCATTAAGCAACTAATCCTCTGAGGTGGCAAAGTTAATGCTTTTTTTAATCAGGAAAATAGCATCAAAGCCAGATTTTTTTTATTATATTTGTTCCTTCCTTCTCGTATACTTAATGCAAGCTTGATGTCTCTGATTCACTTTTTGAGTTACAATTCAACTTTCATGAACTTATTTACTCATTGCAAAATGAGTAAATAAGTTCATAGTGTTCCCAAAAAAATCTTTTTGAATATTTTCCCCTATTGTTCAATTGTTTTTAGTTTGGAAGACTTGTTTAGGAATATAATTTTTAGTTTCGTGTTTTTATTTGTTTCTTATAATAGCTTTTTAATACAGTACGTTTCTATGAGTATGTGTATTTAAGAAATATTTTATGGTTAATAATATATGGAAGAACCTGTATCAGTGTTTTTTTTTTCTCCTGGAACCTGTTTTCAGAAACCACTTTTCCCGAGAAAGAATAGTTATTTGTTTTCGTAAATTAAATGTTGGAGCGTATCATATTTCAATTGAGATTGTTGTTAACATAAGTTGAATTTTCATTTATCATGTTAATATTTTATCTCATGCAGCTCCCGAAATTGTTCTCTTTCCTTCTTTTTTGTAAAATATAATTTTAAGAAAAGAAAACAGCAGCAATGTTTCTCCTGCATCATCTCTCACGTCTCTTTCTGACTGGGTGATTGAGAATTTTCAAACCCTTTCCGAAAGATCTGGTACATAAAAAGAGAGATTTGAGAGAGAGAGAGTTAAGTAGTTGATTTGTAAGCCGTTGAATGTTTATAAGTTGCATGATTTTTAAATTGGACGATGATTATAATCAAAATATAAAGTTGAAAGCTGAGATTAGGAGATGAAATTGGAAATCCATCACTTTGGGTCACACGACGTTCATTAGCTTCTTGATGTTCATTAATGGGGATGGTCCAATGATTTTCTTGTGGGAGGATGGTTGGGTGGGGGTAGTCCCCTTTTCTTCCATTCGTTAGGTACCTTTCTCTGCCTATCAGAAGTCTTCTAATGTTTCTTTGATGCTTTCTGTAATGGATGAGTTTTGCCCTGCTTGGAGTTTAGGGACGTTCCTTTCTGTCTTGTGATCCTTATGGAGTGTTTTATACTCGTTCTCTCTTCCTCTTTGACTTTTTTAAGGTCAGATTTTTCGCCATACAAATTTTTCAATTTAAGATTTACACCATTGATCTTAAAGATAATTTTCTTTTCTTCTGGTGCCTTAGTGGTGCAACTTTTGTAGGATTGTCTAAGGGAATCTGAAGCATGTTTTGTGGGGGTGTTGTGCAGGGATGATTTGGGATAGTATCTTGGAGTGCATGAAGAGGTGTTGTTTCATCCTCCCTTCCAAGATAGGGATAGCTCATTAGTGTGCAAATGTTTAACTTGGGAGAAATAGGAAAGTGTTCAGATGTGGGGATAGTTCTTGGAGGTATGTGCCTTACTTAGGCTCAGTGTTGTTCGGTATTTGGTATTTGTAACTCAGAAGTTTACCGATTATCCTTTCTCACCATTGTTATTAATTGGACTGATTATCTTTTATATCTTACTCTTATTTACTAGTTTTATTTTGGTAAGTTTTGTAATGATCTTTTTTAGGCTAAATTACAAAAAAAATACTCATGAGCTTTATCATTTGTTTAAAAAATATCTCTATTTTTTTCAAAAGTTTCAATACTACCCTTAAACTTTCATTAAAGTTTCAAAAATATACTTTGAGTAAATATCCATTAATGTTTTGAACAAAAAGTAGATGTGGCAATCAACGGCCCATTTTATCATAAAAGTCTTCTTCCCCATTGTCAAAAAACTTTGCTTCTTTATTGTATATCCAATTTTGTCCTTTAATTTCCTTTTTAAAAACAATAGCTTCTTCCACATTTCCTTTCTTTTGAGACTTAATTCAAGCAAGCTTTCAGTTAACTGCCATGTCCTTTTAGATTTTGCCATGTCAAATTTTTGTTCAAAATATTAACGGGTATTTTTTGAAAAGTTATTTTTGAAACCATTATGAAAGGTGGAACTTTTAAAAGGATGTACATCGTTTCAGATTTTGACATGCCATTTTTTTGTTCAAAATATTAAGAGGTGTTTCGTGAAAATGTATTTTTGAAACCTTTATTAAAGGTCAAGTTTTTGACACAAATGACAAAGTTCAAGAATTTTTTTTTTCTGGTAATTTAGATATATATATTTTTTAAATTGGAGGTTTTTTTTTTCCTTTTCATTTTTTTATATAATTTTATTTCCCTTGTTTTTTTTTTCTTTTGGAAGCTGGCTTTTCATAAAATTTTAAAATAAAGAACCGAAAAACATTTATTCGGAGTATTTTACAACTTCTCCCTTTTTTTTCCCCACAAGAATTACTATACCTTTTTGAGGATCATGCTTATTGTATCTTTTAGTCATAAAAAACTTTTGACACAAAACTAGATAGTCTCAGATTTGTATGCGCGTTTTTATACTTTATAAACCTTTTTCTTAACGACTTGAATGAACAACCCTAATGATGGATTATACAAGGAAGATATTGATGACTGTCCAGGGTGAGATTCTTATGGACATAGGAGGGACAGTGATAGGAAAAGAGAATCACAATCTATGCCGCCAGAAAAGGGAAAAAAACACATAGCCTTATTCTGATCCCACTTCACCCTAGCTAGCTTTTTCCTGTTAACTCTTTTAACAAAGCAATTGATGTGACCAAGCATTTGAGAGAGAGAGAGATTGTGTGTAGCTCAGCTGCAAGGGAGCACTGCAAAAACATCTTTCTGCTATATGCAATTCTTATCTCACTTGGCATATATGGCAGAGGAATGTTAAGGTGGAATCTCTTCCCCTAAACACTTGACATTTTCCGCTTTTTAACATTACATCTGTCTAGTAATACAGGTAAGTGAAGGAAGAGAGTAAAAGACATGACAAGGACATTTGCCTGCTGAACGTACAGAGCTTCTCATGTCAAACATTGGTGGGATTTCTTCTGTCTTTAGGGATCATTTTTCTCCATTTTGCTCAACTTATTGATTCTCCCCTTCATGGTGATGCGTGCTCCTCGACCCATATTAATTATTCTCCACTCACTATCTCTTAACTTTTCACTAAATCCTCCCATTCCATTAAATATCTCTGTTCTAATTCTTGTTTGTTATTACTTGATGAAATTGTTTGCATAAGCTTGATATTATTTTTTTCAAGAAAAAGAATGTCGCTTAATCGATTGTTTATTAATGGAAAAATCTGTTTCTTTCAAATATTTATTGCAGGTCTATTTTGAGAACTACCGAATTTTGTACCGATATTTCCTTTATGTATACATATCCAGACACCTAATGCTGCAGCCTCCAATTATTTAAAGATACATATTTATGATTTACACATCATTTTTTATACTTGGTTTGTAGCATGATATATAGACTGATTTTACAAGATGCAGTGAATTAATAGTTGATAAGATAGATATTCTGATTATTAACATTGGCAATTAGTAACTAATTGGCTGGGCTCTTGGCTTACTCCATAAGGATTATTAATTTGAAGTATCACAACCTTCATAAGGATACTTATCTGGACAGAAATCGAGTTGGCTCAGCTTAATTTTAGATGGAAAAAAGAAAATAGTCAAACCAAAAACACAAGAGTGGACCAAAACAAACTATTGAAAGAAAGGACTTAACAGACATACTAACCCAATGGCATCTACCAAAGTTGACTCAATTTAACTGAATTTAAATTTAGTATTTGAAAAGGTGGCCGCTACAATAATTAGATTTTCTTTGGTTTTATTTTTTGTTTTCAGGTTTTCAAGGCATGGATTTGTCACTTTCAGTCAACATGTGCCCAAGTTGATGCTTTATCATGGTAATTTTTCCTAACTTTTAATTTAGATGAAAATGTTATTCGTGTCATTAAGTCTTAAAATATTATCTAGATAAAAAAAATGCGGTCTTATGGAACAGTGAGCCATACCCATATTTAGCTCATTGTTTTAATTAGCACGAGGTTTTGGATTTTGGGATTCTGTTTTTAGCATGAAGTTGGAAAGTTTGGAAGATTTCGTTACCATAACCTAAATTTGTATAATCTATATAATTAGCTAACTCATAGCTTAAGATAAGTAAACTAATATATTAAATATAAATTTGACTTCTTTTAACTTTAAATTATATAAAATTCCATCCTTATGTTTGATAATATATAGATGTATAGATGGAAAGTTTTATGGTAAAAGAGGGAGCTTACAATATGAGATTGAAGAAGTATGGTAATGGCTTCATTCTTCTTTAGTGTCTTATAGTTAGAGCTTCAGTGAAGTCTTTCTCTAAGTGACACTCCATCTCCGAGAGGTCCTCATGAGTTATAAGTCCACGGCAATAACAACGTAGACAGTAAAATTTATTACCTTTCATTCTCTTTGGAATTCTAATATTTTTTACATTTTTGCATTGAGTGCAAAATTCAAGCCTTGGTATTAATAAAAGCTATATTTTTTATATCCCGAATGTTTATATCTTACTTCGTTTCTTAAATGTTTATATTTTAGTCTCAAGATTTCAAATAATTCTATTTTAATCTCAAGATTCCGACTGTTATGTTTTATGTCATGCATAACAAAAAACTATACAAGCTCTTGTCTTTATATTTTATATTTTCTTTTCTAACTATTTAATGGAAACTTTGATTTGTTTTGGAATCTATTCTAGATAGCTTTAAATACTTTGTTCATGTTTGTGTAGATATCTGTGCATCAGGTAACAAAAAGTTTTCAAATAGTAAAAAAAAAAAAGAAAAAAAAGAGGTTTTAAAATTAAAGTTTTTTGAAAAATGATTTGTGAAAGACTAATATGGGCTAAAATGATTTGTCATGTGCAGTTCATTGTTTCATATGGACACATAAAAATTTAGGAATTAAAGTAGTATTTAAACCAGCTATCAAATTTGTTAATATAGAGTATATCATTACAATTTGTCTATTTATTATTATTATATTATGGGCATGAGTTTTATCATAACATAATATATATGCACATATCTTAATTCATTTGATTTCAGTAACTCCTTTCTTTCATTGCTGTCACGTTTTTTGAACCATTTTCTTGCAAATTTAAAATCTAAGGCTTTAACATATTCATTAATTTCGATATTTTTCACCCTCTTGGTAGTTGGTATGTCAATATTCATTTCCTTCATTTCTGCAAACTTCACCCAGGCCAATAGACAACAACTGGTTACCAATTCGAATAAATTAAGGTAATTATTCGAATTACGTAAAGTGGACGTATTCATTTTGGAAAGATTACAGAAGGAGAGAAATGATTGGCCAAAAGAAGTAAACAAAAGTGAATGATTCATGTTCTTCTTACCTTAGGTAGAAAATATCTAGAAAAGTCGAGTATAGATTGGAATGGTAACAGTGAGATGATTTTTTCTTTTATTGGAATTGGTGGTGCATATATATGGCATGGACACTTGGGGTGGGATAAATTCTTTGTCTAGTACGAATACAAACTTTATATTATTATTTAGGTGCTTCGGAATAGGACAAATTAAATTTTGTTTTTAAGTATCGTAAACGTGTTATTCTTTATAGAATAGTTTTTAACTTGAAAGAAATCTGGAAAAGAATTAAAAAAAAAAAAAAACCTAAGCTATGAACAGAAGAAATAAGAACAAACTTAGTAACCTATGAACATGGTAGGAATTTTTTTAAACATTGTTTTCTGAAATAGTTCACAAAAGTTGTTTCATAGGAAATACATCCAAATACCAATTTAATCATTCTTTATTTTCTGCCAAATTACTCTGGTAATATTACTTTAACGAGTAATATGCTTGCTTCTTCATCAAGCTTATGAGTAAGGATATAGGAAAGCAAAAGAACTTGATGTCTCTTTACATCACATCTAGATTATTTTATTTTATGTATATATCTTTTGAAATCCATTGTCATTGTAGCTCAGAATTTATTTTAACATGTATTAGTTTTTCCGTACAATTTCCGTTAGAGAAATGATTGTTATGAGATTCAAAATAAAATTATATTTTTTTAAAGATGACCTCATCTTAAATAATTAAGGGCGTGTTAGGAATTCAATGAAAAATAGAGTTGTATTATTTGTTTTCAGTGTTTTCAAATGTGTAGCAAATTTAAAAATTGAATCTCAATTTAAAAAATTATTTTTTTAGTACAGCTTAAAAATTTGTTTAAAGTGTGCTTTACCAATATATATATTTATAACTAGTAGTAGTTATSAACTAAATATTTAATTCAATCTAAATAATATTAATTAATTTATTTAACTTTTTTTATTACAAGATTTTGATAATTATTATTTTACAATATTATATAATTTATATTATATTATATTATATTTTATATATTTTAATTTTAACAAAAATTAAATAAATTTATAACATGAAATAWTATATTTATTAAAATTTTTATATTTTCTTAATGTAATTTTGCATTTTAAAGTTTCAAATTCAAAATTTAAAAACTTTGAAAATATAAAAATGTTGTTTTCATAATTTTAACCGTTAGGATCTTAGAATCAGAAAATAGTTATAGTTTTAAAAAATAAGTCCATCAAATGTTGCCAAACGCATATTAAAAAAATAAACAGAATTCTAGGCCAGAGATACTATCTAGGAATACCCATTGTCATCGATACTCAAACATACTTACAGCTTATCAACATATACACAAATATAATTGGTTTTTTTTAATTCACTGTTATTGTTTTCCAACCAAAAAAAACTATCAGGTCATTTGGAAGATATATATGAGAGAACGTAGTTCCATGATACGTGAGGGTCTTTTTTTGTAACCCCAATTGTTTTATATCTTGTTCAGAGCAATGTTTTTACTCGTACTATTACTTGACGTACGAGATAGTGTTCGGTCTAGCTTCCGATCAATAATAGAGTTAGTGTGAAATTTACTGGAGTAGTTTTGTTTTTTCTCGTTTATGAAATATGTGGTTCTTCTTTTACTATTTGTTTGATTTAATTGCATTATATTATTGACTTTCTTACTGATGTTCTTGTTGCTTTATTAGCAGGTCTCTTTATTTCTTTAGAGCTTTTATCTCTTTCGAGCTTTTATCAAGCGGTACGATTCTTCTTTTTACTTTTACAATATACATAACTTTTGCACCAAAAAAGAAAAAAACAAAATTAACAGTTCAATTAAAGCGTGAATGCAATTCAATTCATAATAGGGCAATATTATTACATCATCAAGAATATTTCTAGAAGAGAAAGGAATTCTCYTATTTGGAAATTGGAATTAGGCACCCAAAAATCGTTTTGTCAATGTCAGAAAAATCCTTATCAATGATTAGAAGGGCGACAAAGGTGAGTGAATTGGCTACAGCGGTACACAAAAATTCTCTTGTCTTTTCTTTTGCCCATTTATATGCTGCTTTTGGCGACCTACAGTCCCACAACAGGAGGGGCACCCTTCACGGTTGGAGCTCAGAAGAAGGAGATGAAACAAAGAACTYGCCTATGAATKACTTCATAGGATTTATAGATCATTATTTGCCTTTGGAATCAAAAATACATTTTATTTTCTTCGATCTGTATAAATATTAACTCAGATAAATTTTCAAGCAGGTTATAAAACAACAATAATTTCTTCACTGTTATAGTATTTTTGGATTTTTTTTTTCTTTTATGTGAAAGATGTCTTTAACTAATTAAAAAAAAAWTTAGTAGAGTTTGGCTAACTATAAAGGAATGGAAAAAGTACATAACTGATATATAAATTTCGTTATTTGGAAAAATACTATCGTGAAAGACACTCCTAATAAATGCAATATATAGATAGTAGTTTTTCCCAATCTATAGCAATAGCATAATTCTAAAAGGAAACTTTTTAACTTYTTTGAGTATTTTTGTAGAATATGCATACAGGCTAGCAAGCTGCGCAGATCAGGATTATATATAGAATTTTGGTATCGTATTTATATCATATTATATTATACTTTTTTTTCTGTTTTGTATTTATTCTTGTGGAAGAATCATATTGCCGAGATCTATAATTTTAACCCTTATAGTTTTAATTGGATGCTCAACAGTTTCTTTTGCTCTCACTCAGTCACTCCTTTTCCAGAGCAGTCTGGTCCACACAACACATACTTACATGCATTGTCAGCTTCTGTTCCCTTTTGACACAGTTACCCCAACTCYCTTTTCCCCCATTATATAAACCTCCTTCCAACCCTCTTCACTGGGGTGTATAGCTCAACCGGGTTCAAGTATTTGTTTCCTTTCTTGGTTTCAATTACCTCATATTAGCTTGATTTTCCCCTGTAATTTTCACCTCCTGAAATGGAGAAAACCCAGTTGCGTAGGCAGCTTGCCAGCATCAGGCAATCCCTCTTTGATCAGGTAATCATGTTCACAGTCCCGGCAGAAAATCTAATATCCTTTCTCACACATGTTTGAAAATGGTTACGAATATATTAAATTTATCAGAGTCTATCAGCCTAAGTTTTAGTAATTTAACGAGGTATTAGAGTAGGAATTCATGAGTTTCAAAGTCATTCAAGTGTTAGGCCTCGTGTTAATATTTTTTGGACTTGAAGAAGAGTGTAAAGAATATATTGAAGGGATTAAATTTATTCTAAGGTTTAAGATATATAATCGGTTTAGTTTGGTGTTTGAACAATAATTTTGAAAATGAGTACTCATTTGACATTTTTTGTGTGTTAGTGTATCAAATGCTTTGTTCTGGATTTCCATTCCATTCGAAGTAAGTACTATTCTGTAAGTGGAGATTTGACATCAAATTTGGCTGGCCATTTTGCAGGGATTTCTTGATGAACAGTTTGTGCAGTTGGAGGAACTGCAAGATGATGCTAACCCAAACTTTGTAGAGGAAATTGTTACATTGTACTACAGGGACTCGTCCAGACTGATCCTTAACATAGAACAAGCACTGTATGCATTTTTCTCTTCTAATTTATTTCTTCTGCTGTCTACCAAATCTCAACTTTATCTCTTAATTTATCTTCTAAATTTTCATAAATGCAGACAGAAGAGCCCTCTTGACTTCAACAAGTTGGATGCCCTTATGCACCAGTTTAAAGGAAGTAGCTCAAGGTATATAACCCACCATTAATATTTGAACTGTAGAAATAATTTTCCTTCAAAAAAACCAGGAGTTTTCAAAAGAAATAAAATGTGAAAGAGGGCCGGGTAGTTAGCCATGGAGTATATACTCTGATCACTGTTGAAAATATTCATGTTCTTTTGTAATGGGTGCAGTATTGGAGCCAAAAAGGTGAAAGCTGAGTGCACGCAATTGAGGGAATATTGCAAGGCAGGAAGTGGAGAAGGGTAAATATCCTATCATACATATCTTTCTTCTTATTCCCCTCGCATATCATGGTTTTTCATTCACATCAACGTGGACGGCTGAGATTGATCGAACATGAACTGATCCCTTCCCTGCTCTTCCATTTTATTATACATATATTTATAATCTTTTTTCTTGAAATATCAGTTCAAATAATCATAGTGGAAAGTTAAGAGATGTATAGTTCAGTTTTGCATGCATGCAATGGATTGGATACAATGACATTAGAAAGTGAATATTATTATTAAATCATGCATTCTATATCACTTTATTATATGAAGAAAAAGCACCAACTTTTTGAAACATTTTGAAGTTGGGTTAGTAGTGTTTCTCTCTGTTGTCTCATATTTAGTTTAAGATGGTTTTTCAATATTTTGAGGGAACTTCGCCTAATCTAATTAAAAGTACTTAATGAAAAAAAAAAAGAAAAAAAAAAGACTCAATCCACAACTTTTTATAAGGGTTTATCAAAAAATATTATTCTCAAAGGTTATATCAAGAACTTTTGAGAAAATTGTTGGATTGATATCAGCCATATAGGATTATCTCACTCTATCATCGTTGGTTAATTATTTACTAAAAGTGGAATTTTCCTTTTTAGAAGGGTTAATTGATATAGTTTATTTAYTTATTTATGTGGTGAAAAACAGATGCTTGAGGACATTCCAACAGCTGAAGAAAGAATATACAACTCTGAAAAAGAAGCTTGAAGCCTATTTTCAGGTTCTTATATAAAGCTCCATTTTTTTGTTTCCTTGGTTACTTTTCAATATAATCTGTATGGTATGGTAACATTGAACTTTTTGCGGTCTAATCAGCTCGCAAGACAGGCTGGGCCCACTGAATCTGCTTGTCGGCCCAAGTAATCATACGTGGATGACGAATGGAGGACAAAGCTGATGTGGCGAGATGTGATTGGATCTTTATATGTTTCATAAATTATGTAAGCTCCAATTATGGATTGGAGCAGCCTTTGGCGCTATAGGTCGCTTTTGTTTTGTTTTTGCTCATGAATGCAATTTAAATGGAAGTTTTGGTTCCTTTATGACGATTGTTTGGGCCTTGGGTCTTTAACTTACCACTGTCGGTCCGGTCATTCATTTTGGGCCAGTCCAAATCGCATAAGCCCAAAGAGAAGAGATGCATTGTATGTTAAGTTAAAAGCATTCAAGTGGAAACATTAGCCTTTTAAATAAATGCATGGAAATATTAGAAGCATCAACACAAAAAGAGATTCTAACTATTTAAGTTGACAGTGTAAGGTTCGAATGTACTCTAAATTGGATGTTTATTAGGTTTGAAACTTTTAAAACAAATTACCAATCCAAACCTAATTCAATTCAACGATAAATGGTACCTCTCCATTTGTTGATTTAAAAAAAAAAAATTCAAAGACATTTGATTCAATATTTTTATGGTGGAGATTTAAACCCTCCACAAACAACCTCCCAAAAAATGTTAAAAAAAAAYACTAAAATAGTTTTATAAATGTTAGCAAGTGTGAATAAAATTTTCTTTTGAAAAATTGACAATAAGATTATAACATAACTGAAAATTAGGAAAAAATGAAATATCCGACGAAAAAAGATTGGAAAAAAAAAAAAGAATCGACGAAATGCTGCGCTCAGAAAACGCCGTGACGTAACAGAAAAGTGGGAGATCCACGAAGGCCGCCCTCGCCCTCCCCTGCGCTGTGCCTGCGTTTGCTTGGGAACCRAAGTTCTTTCCACTACTTCTTCCCCTCAATTCCCCCAACCACTTCCATTTCTCTCTCTCTTAAACCTTTCTTCTTTGATCTTCTATCAATTCCTGGTTCCCCCTCGTCTCTACTTTTTTCTTCAGCTAGGGTTTTATTGCTCATCGATTCAGATTGCAAGCTTCGAGGTGGTGAATTCGCCTTCATCTTCTCGGGACTCGGGTTTCTTTTTCTTGGAAACTAGTATTTGCATTGGCAGTATCACTACCTGGATTGATCCTTTTTGTTGTGTTCGTTCTGTTCTCCTCCTCTCTCTCTCTAACTTCTAGATGCGTTGATAGGGTTTTGGAGATTTCGCGTTGGAGGGTTTTGATGATCGCCCGGGATATCTGAGTGAAATTGTACTTTGTGATTTCGCGATTTTGTTTCTTCCAGGGTTCTGTTTGATCGGCTTTTCGGGGAGATAGCCATGGCTTCTTACAGGCCATATCCTCCACAATCGTCCTTCGGTCCTTCGCCAGGTCTAAATCCGATTCCGCCACCGCCAGCGCAAGCAGCTCCCGTTCCAACGCAGCAGCGAGGAGGTAGTAGTCAATATAATCAGAATTGGGGTGGTTATGGCGGTGACGGGTCTGTGCCTCCAGCTCCATCTTCCTCGTATCCTCAAAATTACAACCAAGCTAATTACCACCAGCAGCAGCATTATGGTCCGCCGAGAACCCAACACCCTCCACCACCTCCTCCTCCTCACCAATCGTATCCTTATGCACCGCAGCCGCCGCCACCGCCGCCACCCGATTCTTCCTATCCTCCGCCTCCACCACCGCCAGCTCCTTCGGGTCCCCAACCTCATCTTTACTATCCTCCTTCACAGTATTCCCAGRGTAATCAAAATCAGCAGTCCGTACAGTCAATGCAGCCACCACCTCCGCCCTCGTCTCCACCACCAAACTCTTCAATTCCGCCGCCCCCACCCCCAAATTCTCCGCCACCTTCATCGGCGCCTCAACCAAGAGCGGAGGGTGCAAACATGGGAGCACACGAGCGTGATAAAGGGATTTCAAAGGATCCGTCATATGGCAGGCGTGAACGTGAAAATTCAAATCATGATAAACACCAGAGGCACCCTGGTCCCCCAATGCCTCCGAAGAAAGCAAACGGACCTTCAGGGAGAATTGAGACGGAGGATGAGAAAAGACTGAGGAAGAAGAGAGAATTCGAAAAGCAAAGGCAAGATGAGAGGCATAGACATCATATAAAAGAATCCCAAAACACAATTCTGCAGAAGACCCAGATGTTATCTACCGGGAAGGGGCATGGATCAATTGTGGGGTCCCGAATGGGGGAAAGGAGGGCCACTCCATTTCTTAGTGGTGAGAGGATAGAAAATAGGTTGAAGAAGCCAACAACATTTTTGTGCAAGTTGAAGTGAGTATGTTAATATGTATCGTTGTTATGATCTGGTCTTAAGTCGTAGTGAAATTTTGGCTATAAATTGATGTCTACTAAGGTTTCTTTGGATGAGTAAATTAGCGGAATTCTCAGTCACCGTTTATTGTTGTATTATTATTTTTGCTATCTTCTTATCCTTGTGCTGAGGAAGGCAATTTAATAACTCTTAAGCACATCGTCCTTCTCTTAGGGGTTTGTGGGTTCAGTTATTTTTAGTTTCAATGCATTGATTAATGTCCCCAGTAATGTTTTTTTTTTCTTTTTCGAAGAAATAATATTCCATGCTTCTCTTGTGGATGGTTCATTGATTCTCTTTTTTTTCTTGTTTTTCTTTTTTCATTTCTGATACTCTACTTTGACTTCCATGTGATTAAAAGATTCCGGAATGAGCTTCCAGATACAAGTGCACAGCCGAAACTCATGTCATTGCGGAAAGATAAAGATTAGTACGTAATCTCTTGTTTTCCCTCCAAAATTCGAATAGATTTACAGCTTTTGGTTTGTTGATGTTTGGGGGGCTTTTCTTTCACCCCTTCATCTTGACTCATTTTTCTGGTTAAACTGTTATGCGGTTAGGACAGATCTACAATTATATAATGTAGCATAAATACTATCCTCATTTTGATACTGAGCAACAAATGAAAAAAGGTGGATATTAAGTGAAACAAGTAGAGTAATTCTTTAATAAGGCTGGATTGAGGAAGGTATGTAATAGCACCTAATTGTGATACTGAGTACTCATAACTAGCTAAAATTTGATTTCTGTGCTTTTAGACGTACACCTTGCTAGAGTCAATCTCATGAAGCGGGGTTTGGCTTCTATGCAACTTTCTCATAAATTGTATGAAAGTAGTTGGAGCTGCCACTCTGTGTTTAGGTTGTTTCCATGTAGAATTATGAAATTTCTTGGTCCTACAGCGCTTCTTATCTTTTACTATCATACAAATAGGTTTGACTTGAGTAACATGAGGTGGCATCTTCTATTTTTTGGGTTGTTGCAGCTATACAAAATATACAATCACATCGCTAGAGAAAATGTACAAACCTCAGCTTTACGTTGAGCCAGATCTTGGAATACCTCTCGATTTGCTTGACCTCAGTGTATACAAGTATGGACCATATAATATATTTTCTTTAAAAACTGACTGTTATTTGTATGGTATGATTCTAATTCTTCTCTATGTATATGTTAAATAGCCCTCCTAGTTCTAGAATGTCCCTTGCTCCTGAAGATGAGGAATTATTACGTGATGATGTGTTGACAACTCCAGTTAAAAAAGATGGTATAAAAAGAAAAGAACGTCCTACTGATAAAGGGGTTGCCTGGCTTGTTAAGACACAGTACATCTCTCCTCTTAGCATTGAATCCGCAAAACAGGTATCTAATATTCAGGTTCTTTAATACACGTAATTTTGTAGTTATGTTGGTGCTGACAAGGATTGCATCTGCAGTCTTTGACTGAAAAACAAGCAAAAGAGCTTCGAGAAATGAAGGGAGGGCGTAATATTCTTGAGAACCTCAATAGTAGGTTTGTCTTTTTTAACTCTCAGCAGATTAAAAATTGATTTTAACACAGCAATATTGTCCTTGGACAATTTTTTTTTTCTCTCGCTGAATGAGCTTTATATTTCCAGGGAAAGGCAAATTAAGGAAATTGAGGCGTCGTTTGAGGCATGCAAGTCACGCCCTGTTCATGCAACTAATAAGAATTTATATCCTGTAGAGGTTTTACCTCTTCTGCCTGATTTTGATAGGTACAAAATAATTAAATCCTTGATTGTGGTCCAATTTGGTAAATAAAATAATTAAATCGTAGTGTTTTAGTGAAAAAAAAAATTGTGCCAACTTCTGTGCAAGGCTGATGGCATTGAAATTAGGTTACATTTTTTTTTTCTATTTTCGTGTATTCCCTAGACTCACTCCTCAAAAGTTCATCTGCTTGTAGATTGCCGATTTATTTATATCCTTTATGCTTCTATTTTTATGTTGCTTATGCTTCATAGAAAAAAAAATGTTGCTTATACCTCTTCCGTCGTGATCTATGATATTTGAGGTGTCTATTTGATTGCATTCAATTATATAATCTCAATCTTTTCATTTGGTGTTTCACGTGTTGATAATATATTATTTGTCATTTGATATTATGTAATTCAGAACGTTTGGTTAACAGTCTTACATCATCTTATATGTACTGGAATTTTAGTAATTTTGATATTCCAATGATTTGTATCAATTGGAGGAATCATTTGCAACTCTTTGGTTTCGGAGGCAGTGTGCCTTGTATATATTTCACTTATCAACGAAGTTGTTTCTCATTAAAAAAAATATAATGTTATTGCATCAGGTATGATGATCCATTTGTTGTGGTGGCGTTTGATAGTGCTCCCACGGCTGATTCAGAGACTTTCAACAAGTTAGACCAATCCATCCGCGATGCTCATGAATCGCAGGTCAGTTCTTGAGGTTATTGCTACTACAACAATATTGTGGTAGTTTTGAAAAGGCCATCGGTCGATTAACGAACATATCAACATTATTCCAAAGAGTAGAGAAACAACTATTTGGTGCAGAAATGACTTTTTTAACCTGCAGTAAGAAATAGTTAGTTACTTCTAACTATATTTCTTGATCCCTACCAGGCGATAATGAAAAGCTATATGGCAACAGGCTCAGACCCAACAAAACCTGAGAAATTTCTGGCGTACATGGTTCCTTCTCCAGATGAGGTTCGTCAGTGCACTATAAATTTTAATAATTGCCATTGGAAGTATAGTTTTCTGTTATTCTTATCCAAAAGTCAAAACCAAATATAGTCATTGATTCTTATTCCCCTTCCCTAATCAAAAAACAAAATGAAAATGCTGAACATATAGTGTAACCTACCGGGGCAACCTCTCCTGTTTAGTTATTCCTGCCTCTGGCGAAAACAAAACAAATATCAATCCTAAGTGAAACAAGTTCATGTTATCCTCTTGTTTTGCGCAGCTGTCCAAGGATATGTATGATGAACAAGAAGACGTTTCATTTTCCTGGGTTCGTGAGTACCATTGGGATGTAAGTGCAAGGATTTTAAATTCACATACAACATTAAGTTAGACTTTTTACTACACATTAGGTGAGGTTTCTGATTACACTTATGCAGGTACGAGGAGATAATGTGGATGATCCCACGACATATCTCGTTTCGTTTGATGATGCAGAAGCTCGTTATGTGGTATTCATCTGTCTTGCATCTCTTTATAATCCATCAGCACTCATGTATGCATGCAAGACTTTTCCTTGGTTTAGATATTTACTCCACCACCTGTTCAAATTTCAATTGCAGCCACTTCCTACAAAGCTTGTTCTGAGAAAAAAGAGGGCTAAAGAAGGGAGATCAACCGATGAGGTTGAACATTTTCCTGCACCTTCGAGAGTGACTGTAAGGAGGAGACCAACAGTAGCTACTTTGGAAGTGAAGGATCCAGGGGTATAGATTAATACAAAGTTTGATTAATCCCTATTGCTGTGTCTGGCAAATTTTAACACTGCCGCTTTCAGGTTTACTCGAATTCGGAAAGGGGATCTGATATTGAACATGGTCTTGGAAGATCACATAAACATGATAGACACCAAGATATGGATCAATACAGTGGAGCTGAAGACGAGTTGTCTGATTGATTAGTTCATGTTTTGCCTCAGCCAAAGATTATCTTCCTGATGCAAACGCAGCCATCTGGCAGAAATTCTCCCAAATTTTTTTAAAACCACCGGATGATTATGGTATTGTGTTGAGTGTGTACGTTACATGTCTATCACCACACAAACTAAAGTCTTTGTATGCAATCTTGAATATTTCTAATTTAATCTGTATAGTTTCTCTCTTGGACATGGCAAAGAAAAAAGTGAAATCTGAAAAAGGGAATCGCATCAGATCCTCCCTCCCTCCCATTTTTCTAGTAAAATTGATGTAATGATCTCTAAGATGATTCTTTTAGATGGGCAGACAATTCTCTCGTGGATGGGCACTGTACACGTGTCTTGGATAATAAATTGGTGAAAGTTGAACTCTACTTTATAATAGACGAGTATTTTCAATTTTCTTCCTCTGATGCGTGATTGCATTGCACAGGTACTTCGTAATAAATCTCTCTATCTACTTGCGAGTTTGTGACAGAAAAATTATCAGATTGCTTAAGCTGTTAAGCATCTTCTCTCTTCAGTTTGGAGTATGATATTAAAGTATAGACAAATCAATCTTTGTTGGGTTTGCACATTTCAAAGTTCTTCGAATTATCGTTGCACTCGGCTTAATATCCTACATGTGTAACGTGTAACCTATACCGACTTTTGCTTTTCCAGATCAGTTTTTTTCATGTACCAAAGAAAAAAATAGACTAGCTCTTATTTAAAAAAGAGAAAACTCAACTCAACTAGCACTTGTACATTGATTATATGTAATAGCAGGAAATATACACTCTAGATTGGCAACTTCAAATGCTCGGCTGCCAACTTGGCCAAGTTTCACAGGTATGTATTACAGAGCACGCACCAGCTGTGTGACAACTGAAAATTTTGCTTGCAAAGGACCATCAGAAATGAAGACTTCTTCATGCGATTGATGCCCTGTTGGAGAAATTACACAATGGTTTAAGCACAATCTGTTCATGGAATCATACACAAACAAAAGTGCAGAATTTACCATGCTTGTCGACATCTGACAGCTTCCTGACGAACACTTCTCTTTGGATCATCAAGAGTTTTTGATATTGCATTTAGTACCTGACAATGACACATTGCATTAAACACGTAACTGAAATCTATGATCGGGATCGAACTCAGCATCATATATGCAGAATAGAGTGCACAAGCCAAGGGAACATTCAATACAAGGAATAATCATCTGGCTACCTGTTTTCTCACTGGATATATCCTTGCATGGGGCAGCTCCAACATGGCAACAAGGCACTGAATTGCGGTTTCTCGAACAAGCTGGATTGTGCATGTCCTTCAGGCTTTAGTACGACAGTGTAATATACTAGCATCATTGTTATTACTAAATATAGCTCGTGCCTTGGAAATTATCGCCGTCATTGAACTTGAAAACAATGAATGACCCAGCACCCTTTTTCAGCTTTATGACTAATGACGGATTTACAGACAGTTGACGACCACGACATGCTAGTTTTTTTGGAGCAAGCAATTAAAATATCGGTTGCATGTCTAAAACTAAGAAAGTTCAGACCTAAGTTGTCATACAAGGGAAATCCAGACGATACAAACTACTAAAAATCATATCTACTAAGTACTAACCTAGCCCCAAGGAACTGTGTGAATGTGTGAGATACCGTACATGTGAAAGCAAAGAGCAGAAATTGGCGACAGTTGTCTTACTCGAAGAATTTCACAGAAGGACCACAAGAAAAGAAAAAAAAGAACATCTATATAACAGGAGAATATCAGCAGTGAAACCAGTCACAATGATTGTGGCTATAGACATAATAAAATAACAATCAAGAAATGACTTGATACCATCATATGAGGAAAGGCAGTAAGCCTAGCAAGGGAAACAGCGATTGAATGTGCATTCTCTGCGACAGCTTCTTGTCCTGCAGTATAATGAGCAGATCCTCTTAGAACTGGCCAAATAATCTGTTAAGTTCGGTACAAAAGCATGACAGAATGGAAATTGTTTATTTAGATCCATGGGCTCCCAAAAAGATGAGATCTACCCATGATAATTTGAGAGCTCTTGGTTCTCTCCTACAAGTTTTTGGCCCCAACTCCAACTAAACTTTCTCCTTGCAGTTGCATCGGGAGAAGATACAAGAGCTCCGCTACTCTCCCAAACACCAAAACTCACAGCCCAAAAAGTACCACCCTTAAGTTTGTCACATCACATAGATGGATATGTGAATATGCAAAATAAAATAAAAATGATGTGATAATGAAAAGGAGATTTAATCCTGGAAACAGATCATGCCTTACCATTTTTGTCCATCAGTATCCCAGATAAAACAAGGAGAAGGCCATAAACCACATCCTTATTTGCAATATCCACGCTTAATGTTAACAAGCCAGCCAGCAGCATGGGAATAAGCTGCAAAATTAATGTGATACTTACTAAATTTCATAGGTTTCATTTAAAAAGGAAAAAGAAAGCTGCAACAATAGCACAAATAACATTCTTCGCATCACTCAACCAGCAACTGCTTTTTGTTTACATTAAAACTAACCTTCTTGGCATCACTCAATATAGCAGTGAGTGGAGTATCAGATGTAACATGYGCAAACGCCTTATACAACATACATCTGAAACACAAAGCGGTGTATTAGTACATGGTTACCAAATATTTCACATAGACTAGCATCTGACAAGGTTAGAGCAAGATTACATAACAGTAAATGCTCTAAACAGGTATTTCCGTGCACATTTCTAAGTTTCTAACTTCAACGTTAACAAACACCAGAGCCCAACTTGAAGTACATTTCAACTGTCATGAATACAATCAAATGAATGGGTCCAGCAGGAATAACCTAGACTGCATTATGRTGATTCACGAGCCAGTTATTAAGATGTTTACTTGAAATCTGTATATAATGATGTTAAACCGGATATTATTTGGTTAAATATAAATATTAACATGTTCGTAAAATCAAACTTTGTAATCAATTTGACAAATCTTGCTATGTGATTCAAGTTAGGGTAAACCAATAACAATCCCAGTACACAGATTGCACATTTCTAAATAAGCTGTTTGAGATGTAACGGTAAAGAGACAGGAAGATGCTTTGGGGTTGCAACATCGCAATGCTAAATGACGTAATAGTACTACGAAGGATAACAAACTTGAAAGAAAACTTTAACATGGTAGAGTTTGTTTAGTTCAGTAATAAGCACAGGTCTATAAGACTAAACATTAACTGTTTGCATAAGCATTTAGACACATTCTTCTTAGTCTGGACGTTACTAAGACACAGACATGAAAAACTCAGATGCAATATCCTCATTAAAAGAAAAATTAATTTCCGAATAGAGGAAAAGACATATGTCTACCTAGAAAGTGATGAATCTGATTTGCTCAATAAAGACTGGAAAATAGGCATCATGGTAGAGGAAAAACGCTGCTTATAAAGTGGTCGTACTATTGCATGGAATTTACGGTTCAAACAAACTTCAGAATCGTTCATAAGAATGTGAAATGCATCTGCTGCACCTTTCATTACTGCGAAATCTAAATTTGTCTCGCAATCTTTTTCCAACATAACCTGCTGCAAGGGTGAGGCATCTGTTCTGCCTTTTGATAATAAGCACTCCAAGAAAACCATAGTTATATCTCGAACCTTTTCATGACCACAAAGAAGCAAACCTTTTCCAATCCATGATAATCCAACTACAGCATGAACTTGAGGCAAACAGCTGTTTCCAGTGCTAGAGCATAAATCAGTGAGAAACATTTCACTACCATCACGAGTACTTTCACCATTTAAATATCTAAATTTTGTTTTGAAAATAATGTCAATAGCCTCTTCCAAAGAAACATAACTTGAGACTTCTACTTCGTCAGACTTCAGACTCAGTTTATTGATCATAGAACCAAGTGCCTGAGCGGCTGGAATACAGCCCTTGGTGATGGATGACATAAGCAAATGCATTACTGATCTCACATTTGGAACATGTGTTTGTGGACAAAGTGCTATAATGACTGATGCAAATAATGAAAGAATCCATTCATCTCTACAAATAGGACTATCTTTCTGCTGCAGAAGTTGTAAGCCCTCCATCTGGACTGGTATAGCAGTAGAGGATGCTACTTTAAATGGAGAAAAATTGCTTGTTAATAATACATTGTATGCTTTCTGGATTATATTGTTCTGGCTCTCCTTTGAGCAACTTCGAACAGAGAGTTTTAATGCCATCATGGTAGCATCAAGAATCACCTGGATTCATTGTAAAAAAAAAATTAAAAAGAAAAAGAAAAAAATAATAAAAAAGAGCAAGCTGCAACTTGAGTAAATAGTGAACAACTGAAACCAAGTTGTCTAAACGGTAGCTTAGTATAATTGACAACTAATAAAACAACGGTAGCTTAGTCTAATTGACAACTAATAAAACAGAGAATAGAAATTTAACTCACTTTATTTGGCATCGAGGCACTAAAAACTAAACACTTCTCAATCTGATCCCAAATGTTTAGAGCAAGTCGCATGATGACTTCCTCAAAATCTCCAGCTTCATCAAGCCTACACCATTATGACAAATGTAAGTATCACATAATCATTGATAACTGGTTAAGGGAAGGGGGGAAAAAAAAGATGGAAAAAACGTCAAACCAAAAATGGAGTCTAAGATGCATATTGCATCAATTTGATTCTAATAGGAAAAAAAAAAAAAAAGAACCTGAAAACGTGGTTTGTTTGTGGCACAAGATCTTTTAGCGTCTTACACAGATTGAAGACATTAAAAATGGGGATAAGAACCAATATTATCTCTAAACTAAGATTTTTACTGTTTTTCATTCCCAGCTCAAATAGAGCGAAGTATACTTCCAAGTTCCACAAGATGAGAATTAGCAAATAAAATAATTACCACCGTTCAACGTCAACCTACTCAGCCTGTCTACTACAACCAAACTGCTGCAGTCCATGGTAGCCAACTATCATACGTAAGAGAAACTATAAGCTGTGTGACATTGTATTAAGCTATGCAATGGCAGGGAAGAAAGAGAAGTAGAGTATTTGCAGTGTAGAACTGCCAGGTCTCCAAGAGCCTTGATTTGTAGCCWGACTGGGTTCTTACCTTCCTCCCATTACTCTTTATTACCTCTCTCTTCATGAACAACTTTTTGAGTAACTCTCATTTTCATGGATATTCTCACAGGCAAAGCCTATTTGGTTCAAGAAACCCCATTAAGTGTTTGAACCTCAAACCCTAGAATTGCATTTTCAATAAAAGAGAAACTCCTATTACATTCCTTTCTAGCTGATTAGGCATTCTGTATGCCTCACATTAGTAAATCTGATAGGGGGTCTGATCCTATAAGGTGGTTGTGCATTATATAGGACATGAGCAAAGCTAACACAGCCTTATTATACAATAAAGTACCCAATGTTCATTCTATCTTGGGAGTGCATGCTGAATACCCCTATACTGCATATACATTATTTCATGAGAAAAAAAAACACTCTTACAATGAGATTGTATGCTCCTGAGTTAAAATACGGGATGAGAAACCAAGAAGAAACTTAAAGTTGGTAATCATTTTGGCATTTTTGACCGAACAATAGAAAAAATTTACTATAATAACTATAAAAAGAAAAATGTCTTAGCCCTGAAAAGAGAAAAGGAAGAGAGAAAGAAAGAAAGGAAATAAAAACCCTTACAATAAGTTAAAAAAAAAACCAAAAAAACAAAATTATTTAACAAGGGAAGTAGAAATGTCCTCCATATAACCTCAGGATTAAGCTTAGTGGTAAAAAGCCCCTGGTGCCAACAGGGTCATAAGTTCAAAAACTTGAAACTACGTACTTGAAGAATACTCAATATCTATGAGTTAATAATACCCAATGTTATAGTGTCAAATTGTAATCCCTAATCTTTCAATGAACTTATTAGGGTTAGAAAAAGGAAAATCATTCCATTTGAAATATTGCTACTGCAATAAAAGTACCACTCCCAGAAGTTTAATGTACTGTTTCAGTGTCAAAAAATAATCTTGTAGGTGCCTTCATGGTGGAGGAGTACAGGGAAGAAAATGCAAGAATTGATATGTTCATAACTTTCCACAGAAAGATGTACAATATATAGAACCATATACCATGGAAGAATTTTAGTTGAGTAGCAATCCAGCAGGGACAGTAAAATCTCAACCGACTTTGAACTCCCATGGACCTAAGTAAATAGAATTTGCAGAAGCCCATTAGATTAGAATAATAATAATAATAATAATAATAATAAACTCAAAATTGAGGCAGTAATAATAATGGGAAAACAACATCATGATAAACGAAAAAAGAGAGAACTCTGACAGTCCTTGACCATCCAGTTAAGTTCTTCCTATGGTGCATTATTTGTTCTTTTTTTTTCTCCATTCAAAGGGGTCGAGAAAAGCAAAAATAAATAACCTCAAAATAAGTATAATATTAAAGCATAGACAGAAATTTTCATCCGCTGGAGTTTCTTTCTCTGCTACGTTGCTTTTTTTTCACTATCCTTTCAGGAAAAACGAATGAAACAGTCATCAAAAAGGTTAATTAGGCAGAAAAAAGGATTATTCATCCACTGGAGTTCTCCTTCTGATGCATTGCTATTGGATAAAAGAAGAGAAAAACCTAAAAAGAAGTATTAAAGGATAACCAAAAATGGAAGACAAATAATCTCTTTAACTGGGAATATTGAAAGATGCCTAGGAGGAATATCTAACATAAAATAAAGATTACTAATGTTTTAACACGTACATAAACCTCAGGTAAATGGAAAAATATTGCCTCTGCAATCCCCTGAACAATTGTCAGCATATAACTTCGCCCAGTTCTACCAATGTCTGATGCCAGTTCAAGTTTAAGCATCAATGGCATGGCCTCATCATGAAGAGAGAACATCGATGCAATATTTTCAACAACAACATGCATGTAACTTTGTGATTCCACAGACCCATCATATTTGTCAACAAATGAACCAATATGCTGCAATGCCTTCAAGGCATGTTTCCACAATGATGCAAATTTGAAGTCCACCGTTATAAATGACATGAGTGCCAACAAAATATCCTTGAATACAATTCCAGATACTGGTGAAGAGTCTACAGGGAATGTGGCCAGATTCTGCAAGCCCTTCACTGCACATGATGCCAAACTTCAGCCATAGATTATATTCTAATTGATCAATCTTAGATGTAAAGTTTCAACCAGTCAAACATATGAGCAATAATAAGAGAAAAGACAGATCAATTATAAATTTGTTCGGAAGAGATATAAATGAAAATAGGAAAAAAATTGAAAAGACAGATAACTGTTGACTGCAGTAGCTCCTATAAGGAATTGAGAATCATCCTCTTTCTTCAACAAAAACATAATAGGGAGAAATATAAATGAACATAAAATAGCAAATTTACAGGCAGAAATTTCACTGAAATCATTTGAGGAAAACACGTCAAAAGAAGATACCTGCACAGTAGAATTCAGCATCATGCAGATCTTTCTCAATAATTCCTGGAAAGGTTGAAGTGAGGACCTGAACCATTGAACATGAAAAGGTTTGAAGCATGCTGAATGACTTCTCTTTAACAGAGAATGTATGTTCATCACAGCTCACAATCAAACCTCTGCAAGCTGCAAGGAGTTCAATACAGAGGTATAGGGCTCCAAAGTTGAAATTCCCCGAGGGAGAAATTTCATTACTACGAACCTGATTTGCTGAAATCCCCACAATATCCAGCAAACGAGGGAAGAAACTTTCAAACACTTCATTGCAGGAAGCAACAGATGCATTCGCTAAATTGTAAAGAATACATCCAACTGCATTTAGTCTCTGCCTGCTTTGCTGAGGGAACTCGTTGTAACATGTATAAATATTTAGGATGTTGAAAATATCTTTTATATCTTCATCATTGATAATTAATCCTAAAAAAAGTCCATTACTCTCCACAAGTATCTTTTGCAGGAGTCCTAGAGCTTCTGTTGTAATTTCGTCCCGAGGACTATTTAATGCGTCTGAGTTAATGGACAGAGAAGGCTGTCCTATTGAAGTAAATATGATCTCCTTTAATGAAGACCAGATAGCTTCATGATGCTTTTCCATTCTATCTGCCCCATATTTAACTGTGCAATCACTCAGATACTTCAAAGAATCAATCTGCAATCATTTACGTTATTACACAACAGCTTGGGCAATTGGAGATTCAAAAGAAGCGAACCCTATATAATAACTAAATCAAGTAAATAGAGAAATTTAGACAAACCTTTGCTTGCGGCAGCGAAGATGAAAGTTTCTCGAGAAGCAAAGGAATTGCATATGGCTCAAAAAGCGGGGTAGATGAGAAGGCCATCTGCACAGTAATATTACAAGTAAAATCAAGTCAAATAATCTGCATTCAAGATTATGGATGTGGGTGCAGGGTTTAACATGCACTGTAAACAAATAAAGCACCCATTGATGATAGATGGGGGTAATGTAATTAATACCTATCCAAGGAGCCAATAAATTTATAACTGACCCATAAAAGAAAAGAAATCTGAAGTCTTGAACAAAATAGGAAAACATAGATACATTCAGCATGCTCACGGCTGTATGGGAAGTTATGATCACGATACAATAGATGAACATCATAACTCTTAAGCAGTAATGAAACAAAACCAACAACTGGGGTACTACTCACTAAAGCAGGACACCTAGAACCTCTAGAATGCTATTTGTATTAAAYAAAGTTCTCGTGTACAAAATATTTGGTAACAAGGAAGAGCTCAAATTACAATGTAAGAGGCAGTAAAATGATGTCCTTGCACATTACCATACCATAAGTGCCTGCGAAAGATCACTCCTTCTTACATCTACATCCTCCTCTCTTCCCTGGATCATTATAGTTTAAAAAACAATATGAAGACAGGGCAACCATAATAGTAAACACCATATTTTGCAAATATAGGGGCAAAAAAGAAATATAAAAGAATACGTGTGCAAAACAAAGCATAGAAACAGGAGAACGTCACGAAATCTCTTGGCAGTATCCATTTAAATTCTCCAATTCTTGGAGACTCATTTTTGACATATACTATTCTATGATCCATAAATGTTGAAATCCAAGTTACCTTAGCATCCCTGAGCTCACRATTTAAAGATACAGAGAATGCCATTTTTAACATTTTTTATGTTGTTACTTTCGTTTCAACTTGCAATGTAAATTTTCAGCTATTGCAATTCCAAGAAGATTCACAGACGAAGGATTCCATCTTCTCTCCATATTCTAGCCCTTCTACCTACCTCAATTTAACATCAAAGACAAACAATTGCTGCTGTATTTTACATTAATGGTTCACCATTTTTCCTCCCCAAATGAGAGAGTACACAACCAAGAACTAATCATAGACAGGAGGAGAAAGTCGAGCAACCAAGAAAGAAGATGAAACAAGAGAAGCATGCATTGAGCTTACATGTGTAAAATGGATTGGGAAGTAGCAACCCAGGAATTCAAAAAGATCATTAGAACAGATTTCAAGCGTTCCAGTTGGATCGGGGAATAGCTTTGCCACAAGCTCAACGATGCGAAAGGTAAGCATTAAGCAATGTGGATCTTTTTCACCATCAATGGCTTCACAGATTCCATACACAAGATCATCACCCTAGATAACAGTGAGAAAGCTTATTGACACTAACTCCAAACAAATGCCAAGTAAGTTTAAATAATCAAGCACAAAAGTTATACAAAACAGTGCAACATGAGAAACGTCATGTGGATGTTAGGATGTGATGTAGGCCACARATTGGAGTTGTCCAGGAATGCTCAAAGCAATATTATATTATTCAATATTAAAGACAGCATTACAAAGAATAAACATCTAATTTATAGAGTTTGTCAACTAATCATCTAAAAAACTAACAAKGCAAAAAACCATGCAAGTAATTAATAAACAGTAAACTAATATTGTAGCATAACAGTAAAATGTAAGGAAAAGCAAATGGTTAGTCCTCTAATTCACTATATGAATTCCCTCCCTATCAAAAAGAACCTGTACTCCAGTTTAAGATGCACAGGGAAGTCTCCGAAACAGCAAAAATCAACAATGTGACACAACAGCATCATATCATCAATTAAATTGTTCCCCATCCTAAAACAAAAAAAAAAAAAAAAAAACAACAATGCAACACAGCATAGGATGTTGAAGCAGCCTCTTCCTATGTAGATTAGAATATCTGAAAGTTTGTTCACACTTCATCATGGCACCTTATCCAACTCCCAAAAATGGCGGCAGATCCATAAAATTTATCTTGGGACTGTAGGTTTAGCACTCCCCACTTAAGAAACTTAAAATTCAAGTTTAAGAAGGTCAATACACTCATTAATTAATCTTTCCTTTCGAAAATAAAATTCAAGTTTACAGGTGGGAATTACATCTCCAACATTCAGTGTAATGACAAATCGCACTGCAAGAAAATGTTTCTATGAAATTGTATAAACAAGTGTTTCTAAACTAATATTGATTTTAGTGAAACTACCTTCCCTAGAAATCAGCCTCTGTGCTGAAAATATGAACGATGGCAAGGAATAATCCAACCACATTACAAGTGACAACTAACTAACAAATTGAACATGCCAAATGCAAGCAATTGCTGATTCACACGGAAGGAATAAGGATTTTGAGGAAGGAGATATGCATAGAACTACAACATTAGGGCCATTTTGAAGGAAAAAAATTGATGAAAAGTAAGCTTTCATTGAGAAGAATAATATAATACAAAAGGACATAAAAAAAGGTAGCCCAATAAAAACAGCCAAACTAAAAGAAGGGGCTCCAGATCAAACCTAAGAGTCATTATAAAAATCTTCGAACACCTTGAACTATATTCTAATAAAATCTTTTAGAATTCTAGTAGGCTTTTTATGTGCTATTCCACACAAAATACTATTGACAGAAATATTCATGAGCAAAGTAATCTTATATCCAGTTAATCATAACATTCCAAGAATAATATATGAATGTGATAAGTAATAATAATTAGATGAATAAATGGATCAAGAAAACAATTTTGAGTAGCTTCTCATGGTTTTCACAACTCCTCAGAAAATGAAAAGGGTCGAGAGAAAGCTGCAAGAAAGCATGATAGAAACAGTACCAGTGAAACAACTTCATCAGGATAATGTTCTAACAGGCACACCAGAAGTTCATAACTGAGCTGCCAAAACAAATAAATCGAAGTCAAACAAAAACAAACTATGTCACAAACTTCACTGAAATTTAAAAGCATTTGCCTGCAGGCATCTGTATAAGTTTCCTATATATGTTGACTCACCTTCCGATCATGCTGTCCCAAGGACTGTACTTGAAGGTTTTGAAAATAAGATCGCGCAAGGGACATTGCATCATTCTTTGAAACTCTACCAACATTAGTTTTTCTCCTCATCAGTGCCAAGCAACCAACAAGGGCACCTCTTAAAGCTTTCCAATCTGCCTGATAATAAGAAACAAATCATCTACCATATTCTTTTTTCATTTTTTTTATAAGAAACATCAGAACGTGTTAGCAAGAGCCACAAGAAACAGTCTAGGGCCATGAAAAGGAAAAACCCCACCCAAGAGGAGCTATACAATCAAAGCATTCCAATCATTAATGAAAAAAAGAAAAAAAATTTACTGTGGTTAGTACACCACCAAGAGGTAGTATGTTGTACACTAATCCAAAAGAATATGTAGTAGACAATCTATCTTCCAAAACCCTTCAATTTTCTTTCCAAAATATTGAATATTGAATATTGAAACTTTCATGATGAAATAGGTATCATAAAGAATCTACAATACCAACTAAGGGTTTMGTTTGCCCAAAATTAAACTTCCCATTGATGTTCTTTGAAATCTTTGTTTGAAAATTATACTTTTAACAATGTTTGTCTTCATTGGGATGCTTTTATTTTCCCTAGCTAGTTTCATTATTTATGGTAAGGCAAAAAAGTTGTCGAATTGTGCTTTGAGAGCCCTCCTATGGCAACTTTGGAAGATAAGATGTCTTCTGTTTATTATCTGTCTTGGTCGTGTTCCAACCATAGACCTTTTTTTTTGTAATTACAGCCTTTTAATCGCTATTATCAATTGGAAGGCTCTTCTTTTGTAGCTCTTTTGTAGTCTTTACAGCAGGGGTTCCCTCTACCCTAGACKTTAGGCTGTTCTCCTCAATTTTTTGAATATATATCTATGTTTCTTATCAAAGAAAATTATTTATTCTCCCTTTCTCTCCCCCTATGAGGATTGTATCCTTAAACATCTTTTTATTTCTTTTAATCTTTCAATTAAAAGTTTGTTTCTGGTTTTAAAAAAAATTACAATACCAACTGGGGTATGTTTGGGAGTTCTTTTAACTATGACAAAAGTAATTTCAAATGATTTTAAGTACTTCCTCCCTCAAAGGTTTACGTTTAGCTACAACTCAAAAGTACTCTAAAAATCCAAAAGTACTCATAAATGCTTTGAAGAAGCTATTGATATGTGTTTTACCAAGTACTTTGGGTTTTTACACTTCATCCTTAACCTCTACACACCTTTTCTCGCTAACCTCTCTCAAGACCTCTTTTCTCAATAATCTCGCTCTGACAGTTTCTCTCACAAAATTTTCTCTCTACGCACTTTCTCTCACTAAATCCTCTCTACACATCTTTTTTCAATAATCTCTCTCTTCACACGCATTTTCTATCACTAACTTCCCATTACCCACACTATTTCTCACCAATTTCTCCCTGCATACTTTCCCTATCTAACTTCTCTCCACAAATATACTTTTCTCGCTTATTTGCCTCTTCACACACTTGGTTTACTAGCCTCTCTATACACACATGTTGATGACAGACTTTCATTTGTGAGGCAAACTTTCATAATAAACATGTAAGGAAAAGCTTACCATTTTGCAAGTGATGTAGGTTTCATTGATAAACTTTCATGGTTTCTTATCAAAGAAAAAGAAACACGTCAAAAAGAAATCTTGAAATTCCACAAGAAGCTCCTCTTTGATGGTATTCTTTTAACTCTTTATAAGAATCCCAAAGTGCATGAACCAGGCCTAAAATTTTTGCTGCTGCCCAAATTCTTATTAGCTCAAAAATACTATTGCCCAGGCCATACTTCAAAAGTAAGTTACTAAAATGTAAAAGAAATTACCCAAAAGAAAGAAAGAAAGAAAAAAGAAAGAAAAGAAACATCTATGTTTSACCAATCTTACGATAGTAAGCATCTATCTWTGTTTAAAAGAAAATCATTACAATGTATAGAAAGTACAAAAAGTATAAAGAAGAAAACATCTATGTTTAGCTAACCTTGCAGTAGGAAGCAATGAAAAAGCATAACATATAGAACAAAGACATAAATGGAAACAAAAAAAAAATGGAAATCATAATATAAAAAGACTACAAAACACGCATCACCCCTATATTTGGATAGGTTATTGGTACAGGACAAAAAGAGAGAGAGAGAGAGATTAAAAGTGCTCACTCACCAGTCTCTCTGTGAAGAATGCCATTAAGCTGTGTATTGTTGCACTGTCTAGAGACTTTGATGCAAGACATGTAAGTAGTTCTCCAAGAAGAAGTATACCTGAAAAGTATAGCATGATTTTCGTTTCTTTTCAACAGTATAGAGAATAAATTGGAAACACAAGCCAACATGTCAAGTTTTCAACTATTTACAGTGCGTCTTAACCACAAAGGATGGTGTCTATATAACAGATATTTAGAACGAGAACAACAAAGCATAGCAACAATGTTAAATATCATCCCCCAAACAAACAAAAGGTTGAGATGTGTTATAATACAACCAGTGTCAGGCACTAATGACAAAATTCAGAACTTGTTCATTCGTTGCTGTCAAGGAAATTTTGGAGACGCTCTTTTATGCCTTGAATATCAATAAGACATCACCTTTGAAAGTAATCGTATTTTAGCTAGTCTTTGGTAAAAATTTTAGGAACAAAGCTAGGTCTATCCAGATTATTGCTTCTTTGGCTATTTTACTGAAGCTGTGGAAAGAAAGAAAGACCTAAGAGGATTTCTGTATAATAGAATAGACCAAATAATTGGAATGGAGTGAGGGTAAGTGCATCTAGTACGTTACGTGTTACACAGAAAGTTCTGTAATTTCTCTTACGTATTTGAGCCCACTAGAGAGTTTTGTAATCTTGCACAAGATGGCATTCTAGCTTGGGTACAATATCAAATCCTAAACTTCTCCCAAAAAAAATCTTAATTTACATTATTTCCATTAAGCTCTACCCTAGTAAATTTATTTATTTCACTTGACAAGATCAAATAAGTTTCACATTATCACATTCATTAGTTATTCAAAAATTAATGAAATCAATAAAAGTATATAGCAGCACCTCTCCCTCGAATAATATTATCGGTAATTGTCAAGTACATCCCCATCTCTCTGACCTAAATCATGTAAACAAGAATTTAAGGCAGTAAAATTGCTTAGATTTAAACGAAATGCGAACAATTAGGAAGGGAAGAAGAAAGAAGCTAGGTAGAAAATACCAATGTTTCTATTGTTAATAAATTGTTCTTCACAAGGGAGGCAATTGCTTCCAAGCTTGCGGCCTGTAGTGTCACATATACTCTCATTAGTCCATTGTTCTTCTTGGTGTTCTTATCGTCAGTACATTGATACACAGCCGTAACTTCACAGTATAACCTTTTATACGTATGGGAAAACGAACAGTTCATAAAGTATAAAGAAATAACCTTACATATATACATATATATATATAGGAAAATGGACTGTTCATAAAGTGTAAAGAAATGTACAATAACTTCCAAGGAATTTACAAATGACATTACGACTGCAAGAAATTGGGGAGGATAGCCACACAAAAAGAAAAATTCCTTATAAAGGGAATGCCAAAAAAATAAGCCACGAAATCAATGGATTCCTAAATTGCCCCCCAATCCCAAGGCACGTGTTGGAAGACAAACCAACTGATAAAGCATCTCTAACAACATTTGTTAACAAAAACTTGACCTCTGCTTCCGTGTTTTTCTCATATTTCTTTTTATTTATACGTTTTTTCCCGTAGAAGGTTGGCAGCAAAGAGCAATTTGCAAAAACTGAACAACTGATTGAGGGAGGACCAGTGAAACATTAAAGATCTAGAAAAGCTTCACTAAATATGAGTAATATAAGGGCTTCCCGAAAAGATAAGGTTAGCATTTTTCACATGACCTTTTCAATGCACCAACTCACACTGGATAAACATATTAGGTGTCTAACTTGAATTCTATCATTTGTGTAAAGGCCTAACATTAAACAAAATCCAAATCAAGATTTTGATATTCTTTGGCCATTTCCCTTCTTTCGATCCTTCACAATTGGAAGGCGCTCATGTAGTAGTTTTGGTTTGGCTACCCCTTGCCCTTAGGTTGTTCTCCCTTTTGTGATTAATACATTTCTCTCAGTTTCTTATCAAAAAAAAAAAAAGATATTCTTTGGCCATTTCCCACCAAACTGCAGGAAAGAAATAGATAAATAAAGGAAATTTTTGATATCTTTAGAGCAGACAGCAAGAATAAGAGTCATCTTTCCTCCTCCAAATGTCGAACGACTTTTATCAATAACAAGGTCCCAGAAAACCTTGTACTTGTTGTAGGTTTACCCCCAAGTGGGCGATTCATTAGTGGAGCACAAAAAATCTGAGTAACAGAGCTACTTCCAATCTGCTACAGTTAATACATGCTGCTTTAGTATTATGCGAAGGGAACTTCACCTACCAATAAACATCTTGATAACACAGTAACAAGAGGCATCAAAGCTTGACATAGAATATGTAAAATTAGTTTTTACCAGAAAGAACAAACTTTAGCCAAAGTTCCATGTAAAAGTGTTTCCATTTGCTGCCCGTCATGTCCACCCTTGTTCTTGGCAAATAAGAGAAGAAAGTGAAACTCTTACCAAGACTTCCGGAACGGAAAGTGAAACTCTTACTATATACCTCATGTATTACTTTTACACTAATTCCACCGAGGAATTCAATTACATACAATTGGTAGAACTCAATGGAATTGGTTCCAGATATCATTTATCCTATTGGGAACATTAAGAATAAATAAAGAAATTGAATTTCATTGTCCTGAAACGTTATAAAATGAGTTCATTGAGAAAAAACATCTCTACTATTTCCACTACTAAACAATTTCAGCACAAGTACATTTTTGTCACCTTTTTCAAAATAATAGATCATATAAATGATTTATCTATAACTGGGAAAAATAAATTATATCAGAGTAAAAAATGAAAATTTAAGTAAAGGGCTAAATAAGGGTGCATACTATATACTTCACAGATTTAGATTCAATTACTCATATCAACGTGATAATCAAAACAATTGGACGCATATAATCAATTCTGAGTCTAAAGTAAATGAAACTAAATTGTTGAACCCACTACTTGCAGTGAACAACAGCACTCATTTGCAATAATTTAAAAAGGAATCAACCCAACCAGTATCTGTCTTGGTAGCCAACGATGTGACAATTATATACTGTACAAGAAATAACAAAATATTAAATGACCAGGTTTGATTTGGCCTAACTCGAGTCAACTCAGCCAATATCTTGTTGACTCATGGATAAAATATTTGTGATTTTCCTATGTTAATTGTAACTTTGTTCACATAATTGGCTTGTGAATTACATCTTATTTGGGTATTAACATGATATACCATAATATCACCGTTTTTCCCTATTTTTTATAAGAATCAGGGAATATCCTAAAGCCAAGCAAAAGAGTTACAACCTAATGGTCRGGAATGCATAAAGCCCCCAGCGTGAGAAAGCTATTACATGTAAGATCCAAGGTAACCAAATAAATACTGTGATTACGAAAGAACTTGTGAGGGGCATGTGAGGTATCTCCTCACAATTTCTTATTGAAAATCAAGCAAACAAGCCTACAGGCTTAACAGAAGCACCTCACCAATTCGAGAGGGTGGGTAACTCTCCTTCTAGCTTACTAGCTATTCACTAATCAAAGCCTGAATAGAAAATACTCCCACCTATCACTGACTTATAACCACTCGGCCCTCATTCCCACGATGATCCTTGGGCCCCACACTCCCAAACGGTTATTCCTTCCCTCCTCTCCCTAGTACAATTCCCTTCTTACCCTTCCTTACATAAGTGTTAACTATTGGAGGCCTAACAGGGCACTCCTTGTATGCTATACAAAATCACAAAAAGAATCAAATTATTTCTTMGATCTGTTTTCTTTCTAGMCAAATGATCCATAAAAAGCTTTAACCCCACACTCCCTTAGAATTCAAGGACATAGTTGTACAACCTATAGAACATATAATGTTCAAGTAAGGTCATTTTAGCTCACATGTTTCCAAATAAGCCATCAGGAAGGTGAGAATCCACTTTTTCTGGAAAAACAGTGGATAAATTAAATATTTTCAGCATAAAGAACCAGATGATCGAGAGTTTTTGTATCTTGAAGACACAAACAGCAAGCATTAGGAGATATAAACCAGCTAGGAATTTTCTTTTTGTTGTGGGCACTGAGGCTTCTATAGGCAATGAACCATAAGCATAATTTCACCTTTTTTTTTTATTTTACCTTCCTTGAAAAGGCTGAATAAAGGCATCTTCAGCGAGGGCAAGATTGAGATGAGGTTAAAAATGAAGTTTTAACCATGAAGTTTCCTGACTTTTCGAGAGGCTGAATCACCTCATCTTCCGAGGAAGTTAAACTCACTCCATCAATATTATCTCTGGGATGGATCCAACTTTTAATCTTTCTATCAAAGAGGTTCTCCTAATGCCTAAATCCCCATCACAATTTTCTTTGTTCCAACAATCACAAATCACCACTTCCATTTTGTTAAAATTGTGTTTGTGTCCTGGATAGAAGGGGGATACAGTTAGTCCAGACATCGTCCCAAAATCTAATTCTTTTCCATTGTCAACTTAAACCTTAAAATAACATTGAAGATGTTTTACTATTCTTTGGAAGTTTCTCAACCTTTATATCAATAGTTACTGAGCAAACYTCAGATTAAATATAAAAAATATAATTTTATGACACAATCTTGTTCTGTATATTTGTCTGAGATGTTTTACTATTCTTCAGTGGTTTTTCAACCTTTATATACATCATTTCTTGTATATTGCTCAATGCCAATCTAAGACGCTGAATTTTATCCATCTGAAAACTCTCTAAATTAGCTATTGATATTGCAGCTTGGAACCGTGATTCACAACTATTTCCATGTGTTCAAACTTCAAGGTCAAAACAAGCCCTATATTTTTCCTTTTTACGATAAACCAGAATAAGAAAAAACTCAAGTGCTTATAAATGAAAAAATTCGAGAACAATGCACGAGGTTCATGCATGAGAAGCACGCAAATGTCAGAGTATTTGTGCACCCTAATCCAAGAGAAGTCGAGTCAATGATAATCATCACCCATAATCTAACTCTTACAACAAAGATCGTAGTTGGAACTAACCATTCGACCACCACTTCTTCATCTCAGCTCTGAAGACGACCTTTGTCAAAGGTAACTTCCCTAACAACCCAATTGCGCTATTTTCTCAACACACACACACACGCACACTATGCAATTGCTCAGGTTCCGAGACTTTCGAGCTTTCTACTTACGTTTCTATCTAAATAAATGTGGCAAACGAGGTGAGCTATAAGTGATGACCAACAGCGTAGAAACAGATTAATCTGCAGTAGTTTTGTTCAGAGAGTCCAAACCGCTCTGGTAATTGCCTAGTTTGCCATGCAAGATGGAAAAATTAAGAGTTGCGGAGCAGAACAGAAATGGAGCACGAACCTGTTGAGACGCAGCCCGAGATACGTCGACGAATGACTCGATGAACTGAGTGAGCTTACTGAGCTCCGCCATTTTTTTGGTGAGCGGGAACTGGAAGTGGGTTTTAGCCGCGCGAAGATGGGAGCGAAGAAGGTCTTCCGCTTTGAAGAAGTTAAAATAAAAATGGTGGTAAAATTCCCTTTTGGAGAATCGATTTTTATTCACGCCACCCATTTGGTTTATTCAATTTGAAGTAGGGATTTTTCACTTACGTGATTCTTTTTTTAAATCACTCTTAAGATTAATGCATAAATTAAAAAATATATATATATAGTAGCATAKAATGATTGGTAGCTATGCTAGCCTCTTGTTATTATTCAGACGTCGGAGGTTTAATATTCGTCCCTAAATTTTTTCATCTTTCGGTCACTCAGTGTACCATGAATAGGTTCCTAGGTCAAAATCTCGTGTCACTCACCCACGTACCAGAATTTTAAGTCAATCCTTCCACTTTCAAGCATGAATATTCCCAATTTTTATATACCTCGCACTCAATTTATTAATCAATAAGCATAAAATTTTCGTGTGTAATTTGTATTTTCTACTCGTTTTGATTCTCAAACGTCGAGTAGTAAAAACCAATTTGTTTTTTTAAGGGGTAGATTCTCCACAAAAAAAATAGACGTCCCTATATGTGGAGGTGGGAATTGGAATGTTTGAATTGRCTATAACGTTGTACCATATTTTTATTCAATACTTCTTGTTGACGTTGTTGATAGGGTATTGACGTAGCCTGTGTTTAAATTTATATAATTGTCCAGATCATGCAATCTCAATCGATTCGATAAAAGTATAAAAAGGATTGAAGTAATTTCCAACAATATAAGGATGAATATAACAACTATTAAAAACTTATTAATAAGTGGGGTGAAACGTTTTAAATTCATGATATTCTAATTCGAAGTATATGTCAATTACTGTTTAACTAAGTTTACGTTGGTAGACACCATACACAATATTATGTAATGCAACCATAATTAAATACATTCAACTATTAGTGTACTTCAATGTCACCCCATRGACAACAATGTGTAATATCCTACCACGTTTTCTTCWTTCAAAGTTTTTGTTTTGAATATACTCTACCCTTAACCATCTTCACTGAAAACAATGTACGACGTAGGAAATAGATGTTATAAAAATAATAACACCTGAAAATTATCACATTATCGAGAGACAAACATGTCATGTCCACAACATATAAAAAAGAAACCACATTCAAGCGGATGTTAAATGGTTGAAAATATCAATGACAAACCTAAATATCGATCACTAAAACTATAGTAACATTTTTTTTCAATAAAATAGTACGTGGGACGAGATTCAAACTCACGACATTTTGATAAAGATATATGCCTTGACAAATTGAGCTATATTAAAGTTTGCAAAGTCACATTAACACCAATTCATGCATGTGGTAGTTTTTTCTATATGTAGAACCATGAATTTTGGGCCAATCATAAATAGTTACGTCATTATCTATTTTATTTATGGATTAATTATATATTAACCCTAAATTAAAATTAAAGATAAATTGACATTTAAAATATGTAATTGGGTCATATGAATATTGGAYTTCGAATGATTTGGTTCACAAACTTGGCCCAAAACCCAATTTACCATRAAATAAAGTGGATTAATATTTAAATTTAAATAAATTCATTTAAATAATTGGGCTTGRCCCAAAATTATCCAAAGTCCAATGRTCCACAAAAGCTTATGGAAACCTCTCAGATACCGACAGTCGGTATATCTTTGAAAGTGAAGACGGAGAGAATAAACGGACTCTTCGAGGGCTACTTAAGACACTTTAGTGGAAACCTGTAGGACTGGAGCTGTTGGATGTTGCTCAGTGCTGCTATAACTTAATAACCAAAAARCTCTGCGTCAAACTTCAGCGCCTTCGAGTTGGCCACGAGGCAATAGCCTCTAACGCCCCACACCATTGCGGCTAGAGGGGTCTTGCCCATCAGCCTACTTTGCCAAGAGGTGGGGCAGGAGCGCAACGACSTAGCCCAAACCCACGACGATGAAGCTGCAAGGTGTATGAAGGGAGCGACTACCCTTCTTGAAGATCACTCCAAAAGATCAACCGAACCTAGCCCAACCTACTTAAACAACCTAAATAGAGAGGACCTTTCAAATCGTTCAGAATTTCGAGAGAATTCACAAAACTTTCGAAGAAACAGTAACAATTGTATTTGTAATTTTCCCTTTTCCTCTCAACAAAACAAAGATATAATGTCTTGGATAAACTATTTTAYAAACTTATTTTTACAAATGGTTCAATGTTTACAAATTTTACAGTTTTAGATTTCTGGATTTAAAACTTTTTTCAAATGYCAAATTTGCCCTTATTTATGACATTTATATTTATTATAATTTGTCTTTTATTTAAATGCAAAAGATTAATATTCCAAATTTGATTTTGAAAACATTAAATGATTGTGGGACCCAAATCAATCATTTTTATAATTTCCTAATTTACTCCTTAATATATTCTACTAAATAATGAAATTTATTACAAAATATTCAATTATTATCATAATCCCTAAATTTACTCCTTAATATATTCTACTGAATAATTTTTTTCATTTTATTATATTTTCTTGGCCAAATTTCAATAATATAGCCATTATATATATATATATATATATAGATATAAAAGCTATATCCAACTATTTTTCAGTTATATGGAAATATAAACTATATTCGACTATAAACTTAAGTAAAATACACTTAACAATGGTGATATAAACTATAGTCATTATAACATACATTTATATGGAGATATAACATATATCTGGCTATAAAGTATATACGACCGTATCCCTCTACAATTAACAAACAAAGCAAATAACCTACAAACGTTCTGATTGGTGACTAGACAATAGTTGGGATAAACGGAGGGTTAGAATGATCGACGGGCGACCGACGACAAAAAAGAAACCTCTGGATAAACGGACGGAAACAATGAACGGACGCCCAGAGACGAAAGAGAAGCTAGACGAATGGTTACGGTGACGAAGAAGAACGAAGACGATAGTCGGAGACGAAGGAACGCAGAYGATGGTCGGAGACGAAGGAATGGACGGAAACAGAACAATAGAAGAAGAAGAAAAGTCGGAGAAATGAGGTTTTCGAATTTTTTCAATAATGGAGAATTTTGGGGATTTGATATTTTTCACTTTTGGAAAGTCTAATTAGGCAAAAATTTAAGGGATTTAAAATGTAACCTCCAAAGTAGTCAATTTTGGATTTTTAAAATTAATTAATATTGAGGTGAGATAAAAAAAATATATTAGTAAATTGGAGATGGGTACCATCCTAAATCAAGTTGTTTCATGATAAAAGTGTAAATTTTGTATCATTCAATCATTTTATTTTATTTTATGTAATTATAGTCGCTTAATGGACTAATCCCTAAAACAAACTGTCATAAKTATTCAAGCCCAACAGAGGTTTCGGAAAGGTGTGTAGCCCGGCCCAATTGTATTCACCAACCGCCAAGGCCCAAGCCCACTCCCGTAGAATTTATCGAACCTAGACGACATAATCGTCCAGGTGAAATCCGGCAGCCAGCCGACGCATTTCCCTCCAACGCAATAGAACCGCACACCGTCAGCAACCGGCGCGTAAAGGACAAGCGCCACCGTGAACCCAGAACCCAAAACCCAAGCGACAAATTTCCATGGCGGTAGAGAATCAGAATTTCATGGAAATTCAAATTCCGCATCAGAAGCACTACCACGGAACTAATTTCCCCTTAGTTCTATCCCCAACTTCAGCTCTTCCGGCCAGCATCTCATCCTTCTCTCGAGCCATCAAGAACCAGAAACCACTAATCGATTCACTGCTACTCAAATCCGGAGCAGTACTCTTCAGAGGTTTTCCGGTTGAAGTAGCATCCGACTTCAACGACGTCGTAGAGGCCTTTGGTTTCGAGGAGTTTCCGTACGTGGGAGGCGCAGCCCCTCGAACCAGGGTCGTTGGTCGGGTTTTCACGGCCAACGAGTCACCGCCGGACCAGAAGATCCCCTTCCATCATGAATTGGCCCAGGTACTCCTTATAATCAGTCCCACCATTTTGAGCCTATTGATCTTAGTGATTTCTACAGAATCTTTCATTCTGTCCATAGATGGAATTTGATAGTAATTTAATTTGTAAAGCTTAATCTGTGAACTGACTTTGATATGGTCGAATCAAAATATAGTTTACCACTTAATTGGCTAATAAGAGCTGAGCTTTCTGACTTCCGAGTTTCATGGATACTCGAATGTTGGAAAGGGAAATCGTGAGCTGATGTTGTGTTTTGCTGGTGATGTCTGAAATTGATCTGGGTTGGGTTTTTGCATGTTTCAGGTGCCTGAATTTCCGGCCAAATTGTTTTTCTTTTGTGAAGTAGAGCCTGGAAATGGGGGAGAAACACCCATTGTTCTCAGTCATGTTGTTTATGAGAGAATGAGAGAGAGATATCCAGAATTTGTTCAGAGGTTGGAGGAACAGGGTCTAATTTACACACGAGTGCTGGGAGAAGGCGATGATCCATCTTCTCCAATTGGCCGTGGTTGGAAATCTACATTTCTGACGGACGACAAGGGCATTGCTGAAGAAAGGTATAAGTTTCTCCTGTTAAATAGATAACATTCATACTTGTTAATTGAATGCGCTTAAGCATGGATTATTTTGGATGTAGAATGAAAGATTTTCTATGGAAGATGAAAGATAGAAAAGTTAAAATTTCAAAGTGAGGAAAGCCACATATTGATGCTTTATTTGTTCCAGAATCAAGTTGAAATACTTCAAACCATGGTGGTAACCTATCCATGATTTAAATTTTTATGGGTTTTTCCGTTTTCTTAACAACCAAATATTTTAAGATTAGACGGTTGTTTCGTAATTTATGAGAAGAAAATCAGATCACTTAAAAGGACGAGGATCGATTTCCTTGGCAATCCAACATGTTCCGCTGCATGACAATAGAGCCTATAATTGAGGTAGGGATCAATCTTCAACAGTAGAGAATATATAAGTTATCTTAACCATGTTGAAATATTGTCCTACTTGAATTGAATCTCTATGTTATCTATATGTTATTGTGTTACATCAAGTCTTTTATCCCATATTTGCACCTAATCTTTCAAACTTCTATAATTTATCATCTATTACTCCAAAATGCAGTTTTGAACAAGAGCTTCACTTGAAAAGTCTGTTTTAACAAATCTCAACTTTAAACAGGGCAGCTAAGTTGGGAATGAAGTTGGAGTGGCTAGAAGATGGAGTGAAAACAGTCATGGGTCCAATCCCAGCCATCAAGTACGATGAAGTGCGGGGGCGCAAGATTTGGTTTAACAGCATGGTGGCAGCTTACACGGGCTGGGAAGATGTGAGGAACAATCCCGTAAATGCCGTAACTTTCGGGGACGGTACTGCATTGCCAGCTGATATCATCTATGGTTGCTTGAGAATTCTGGAAGAGGAGTCCGTTGCCATTCCTTGGCAGAAGGGTGATATTTTGCTGATAGACAATTGGGCTGTCCTTCACTCTCGGAGGCCTTTCCTCCCTCCTCGCCGTATACTAGCTTCACTTTGCAGGTAAATAATCCATCCCAAAGCCTTTGATACTAAAGGGAAAAATGAAAATCATGTATGAATTAGATTATGGTTATTCTGCAGCAGATGATTGATTTCTTGAAGTATATTGAAATTAATGCTGTTACTCATCCTTCATTCTCCCTCATGTAAAGAAAGTATTCAATGAAATTGTGATAATTTTAATAATGTGACGCCTTGGGCTTTCTTCTGTTCATCGTGTAGCACTGTTAATAAACTGAGAGGATTCTTCAGCTGACTATTTGAACGAAAACATGAAATACAGGTTTACTTTCTATCATGTTTTTTCCTTTTTGGTTCTTATACCAAGTTAGCAACTACCAAARAATGGGKGAATGGGTTCAATTCATGGTGATCACCTACTTTAAGATTTAATAATCTATGAATTTTCTTGACAACTATATGTAATAGGATCAGACAGTTGTCTCGTAAAATTAGTCAATGTATRTTTATGAAGACTCTACTTGCATATCTGATAAACAACATCTAATTTTGAAAAAGAAGTCTAAAAACATGTTTGTAATTCTTCTCGACCCTCATGATTTTGAAATTGGCAAAGGTAGTTTGGCTGTTAGTCGTCCTTTTTAGACTTTACAATGTAAAGATAGATAAATTTAGTCATGACTAAAGTCAAACAAATCAATATGTACAACATAACACATCTAATTCGACCACCCCCACCACTACCACACGACTTTCGCCACCACCATCACGACATTCTCATATGATGCTATCTTTGACTTAACATCGAAATACCCATCTTTAAAATATTCCCTTTTTCCCTTTAAAACTTTTAAATTTTTCTAAATGAGACGCATGAGAGAGAGAGAGAGAGAGAGAGAGAGAGAGAGAGAGAGAGAGAGAGAGAGAGAGAGAGAGAGAGAGAGAGAGAGAGAGAGAGAGTGTGAGTGATAGTGCATATATTTTTTTTTTCCAAATTAAACATCAAATAGGTGTTCGTCTTTGAGTTTAATGCAATTAATTTCAACTTAAAAGAAGCATCTTTTTTTTTTTCCTTTTCCCTTTTGCATTGTTATTGATGGCTTCTTTAAATTGCATGTACGTGCAATTGATAGAAATATATGCACTTTTTGAAGACACTTTGACCCACCATTATTGCCATTTTCACTAAAGCTAAATCCAAATCCATGCATGTTTTGGACACCAATATCTAAATGTCACAAACCCAATCTAATCAGTACTCTAAAAAAAAATGCAGTTCCCATGAAGCGATCCCTTTTTTACGACAAACCCATTTTACAAATGCATGATTTTATCATTTGAGAGAGGAAAAAAATGGAGGACTTCGAAAATAGTTTGATGGATCCTTCTTTCTCGATGATTTTATGATGTCTTTGAAAGTATTTAGACAGGCGGTGCCATGAAGGGTTGAGAGTTTAAGCCCCGCAATAAACTCGAGTTTCGTGTTTAGTTGAAATTGGATCTTAAACGGATTCTCAATGATAAGTTAGAAGAAGGTATAGGTGCATGTCAAGTCATCATGTCGTTTATTTCTTAGACAAGACGTGTGCTACAATAGTCGAGACAAGTGATCTTTTAACACCTCACAGTTTTTTTCAAGTTTAACGGTAATAAAAATGGAAATCTTTGGGATTTTTTTTGATGGGTTTGATTCCTATTCTGTGCACATAAAACTTCTCTATTGATTCTCCTTTTCTCTCTTCAATTGTCTCATTGCCTTTTGGAGGCGTGCAAGTTTGCTCCAACCACTAGTACTTTTTTCTTTTTCCTGTTGTCATCTCTTTCAGCTTCTATCTACTGTTTAAATTTTACAAATGCATGTTTTTATTATTTGAGAGGAAAAGAAGGAAACCATATTTGGTTTTATTCTTAAACAATAGTYGGATAGAATACTTCATCTTCTAAGATTTAGCGTTATGTTGTTTTGGAAGTTTTCAGACAACTAGTATTGTAATGAGTTGGGAGTGAGAAATCGTGTAATGAGAACGGATGATCATGTTTAGTTGCCATTGTTGAAATTTAAAATTTTGAATAGACTGTCAATGATAAGTTAGAAGAACGTAATTAAGGACTACATCAAGTTATTAGGTCTTTTAATGTCTTAGGTGAGACGTGCAACAGACCTTTAACAGTCGAGACAAGTGATCTTTTAACGTACATCTTACAACTCTTTGGTCGAGTTCAAGTAACTTAATTGAAATTTTTGGTGTTTCTTTTTGAGGTTTTATTTCTATTATATGAACGAAAGACTTCTAGATTCTCAATCTTCAACACTTTCACTACAAGATTATTTTTTTCTTCAACTCAACAATTTCGTTGGCTAAAGTTACTTATGGTGATGAAACCCAAGATTCGTCACTATTACTCACCACCAAAGCAAATTTCATCTGTAAAATTCTTAAGCTATGGATAGTTGTTGCAGGAATGAATCATGGACTAATATGTGGGTTAGCACTTTTTCTTGCAAAATAACTCTCTCACGAAGAGTTATCAAATTGCCATGTTGGATAAACTTAAACTGAAATTCCTTACGACTAAGGCGAGCATTCCGTTATTCTTATTAATATTTATGGGTTTCATCTCAAAACCATCCTTAACATGCTCCCTCAAGATCGTGACTCTTTTGACATCTTAGTCGGATGCTTGTTTGAGTTTTTGGGCTCTAATACCATTTTAATATTTATGGGTTTCCATCTCAAAACCAACAATTAGTAATGAGAGAAGTAGCTCATGTTTATTATAAACCCTGGTTAGATTCATTTCACAATTAAAGAAATGTACAATAAAAGGAGAAATCTTTTCACTCTTGGGACATGATTCTATTTAACCTCTGTACTCAATAACAAGTTAGAAGCAACATTTTAGTTCCATATATACACTTTATCTTATAGACATAAACCAGATAATAATTCAGTTTCCTTCTTGTTATTTGCAGTACTACATCCTTCAACTACCATTAATCTAAAAAATATATTACTTGCAAGCTTTTATATACCATCCTCTAAGTTACCGTTCTATATCATTAATCATTGACGACGAGAGACGCTTAAGTTATTTATTAAGATGAACTTGAGGATGCATATAACTCAATTGGCTCGAGATCTTACCAACTTTACTTAAAAGTCAAAGATTTGAATCTCCGCTCTTAAACTTGAGAAGACGCAATCTGCTTTGATTTTATCAACAAGAGAGACATCAAGATAATAGAAATACAGTTACTAAACTGCTCATAAAGTGAAAAATTACAGAGATAAATTGAAGGAGCTGTTTGTTCTCAATCATATGTTAGGGAATAAACAGATAGCAACATTAAAATTACAAGACAAAAACAAAAACAAAACAAACAAAAAAAAGAAGACACAATTAGCTATATATATGCTATAAGCTTTTGTTTATAAGCTGTTTATAGTCCTAAACTTATTCATAAAGCTTCTGCCATTTCTGGATATTACCAAAAAAAAAAGAAGAAACTTTAGGAATTACAAATTCTCATTTTGTCACTACAATTAATAAATTAACATCTTAGCTTCACCTTTTTGTGCGTCATCATGTTAATACTGAAACGCAGCGTTTTAAGTGCCTGGCTTTACCCTGTGTGCCTGATGTTTCAGAAATTATCTGCCAAATTCTGAGGCTTTTCTCCCAAAAATTTCGCAGCTGAGAGTTGAACAGAGAGAAACAAAAACACCCATTTTGAGAGAATTCCTGTGTCTCCTCATTCTGGCCACAAGAGAAGAGGGAAGAAGAAGAAGAAGAAGAAGAAGAAGAAGAAGAAGAAGAAGAAGAAGAAAGCTTTTTTTTTTTTTTTCCTGCTTCTGCTTCTGCTGGTGTATCTATGGAGGAGATTACATAGTGTGAGGAATTTGGAATTGGAAAAGTGGTTGTTGTGGAGGCAAAAGTGGGAGCTGCAATATGGGAATTTTGACCGAGACTTTACATTGGGTCCTCCATTTGATTAATTCACAAAAACCCAACTTGGAAAAACGAAGGTGATGATGATCAAATAATGGAAAACGCCTATTTGGTGGGGAGGAGGAGGAAGAAGAAGAATATTGATGGTATGGGGTGATGGGTTTGGCAACACCCATATATAAAACCATTTGGAGGGGCTGGGTTAGAGATTTTTACTAGAAAAATAGTTCGGCGGTTTGATGTGACGTATTTTTATTGACTTCAAAGTTTTACCTCGTATTAACTTCTTGGCATGAAGTATTTTTTATCGATTTAAAAGTTTTGAAGTATTAGTAAAAGTTTTTTGGAGATGGATTTATAGGTTATGGTATTAAATATTTGTTGACATGTGTTCATCGACATGAAATCCATGTACCTATGGATTCAATATCGATACGAGTAGTAAATTAATATTTCTATAATATTATCAAAATATGAAAAATATCAATAAAATATCACTAATATAGATGAAATGTTAATATTAATCAGTTTTAACTTATCTAGAAATAGCGAAATATTTATTTGTTAATTTATATATTTTTTATGAATTTTTTATCTTTTCTTAAATATTGATCGACGTCAACATTATATTGATATTTTCATTGACATTTTCATGAAATTGAAATCTCGACATTTAAAACATTGGTATAAGTATGTATTTTTTAAGGGAGGCCAAATTTTAAGAGCTAATTTTTGGTAGATATAATTTTAAAGATCTAGAAGGTAAAATTAGAAAAGAGAATTTTGAATTTTGAACCTTTTACATTACTTTTTAATATTTAATTCTTGATCATTTAACTTTCTTTTTTATTTATTTATTTATTTTGGCGCTTCAACTTTCAAAATATTTATATTAAATGTTTGGAAAAAGAATTATTTTTATATTTACTATTATTTCATCACTTAAAATTTACACACTAATATTCATTTCAAGGTAACTCATGTATCTCCTCCCAAACATGCTCACATCATCCCGTTAATATATATGTTGAAAACTACTTCATCCATTTTTATAAAATAAAGACAAAAATTAATGTTATTTAAAGTTCAACTTCTGAAAATATACCTTTCAAAAACGTTTATATTCCATTTGATAGCAATTTCAATATATATATATATATATATATATAATTTTTTTTTGAAATTATATTGAGCTATAATTTCAAAAACAAAAACAAAATTTTTGAAAACCAGTTGTTTTTAATTATCAAAATATTTTTAAGAAGTAGTTGCAAAACAAATTACAGATTTGATTGTCAAAAGCAACCAACTAAAAACAAAATTAACAAACAAGGTCACCAAAACTTTCCCATTCCAGTTTCTGGTTCCAAATTTTATTAAGAAATTTTAGCATTTTGCAACTAATATGTTTCTTGTTTATATTTTTTTTTTGGAAACATTCTCAAAATTATATATAAATGTTTGAAACAATCAAAATAGGTTTTTTGTTTCTATTACATAACATCATAAATATTGTTTSATCATCATGCAATTCTATTTTTCTTTATTAAAAACAAAGAAACAGAATCAAGAAACGACAACGTTACCAAACGAGCCCTCAAAGAAACTGAAATAGAAACATCTTGAAAATTCCAAATCCCGCCCCGAGTGTTGGTTCTGCACTCGGGAAAGTCAGGGGCAGTGGTGTGACATTTTACAAAACCAGAGAAGCTGTTCTAAAATAAAACTATATATTCCTTTGTCCCGATAGTGGGCAATGAGAGGTGACGCTGTCCAAAAATTCAACACAAAACTCAATTGATTCATAGACGAAGAATTTGGAGCACTTCCACTTGGGATTTTTATGCATTCTTTTTTCAACGGATACAGCTCTGTCGGTCAAAAGCTCATAAATATGGGAACCCTCTACTCTCTGCGTTTGCTTCGGATATTAGCTTACACTTTTTGGACTCAAAACTTTTCAAAAAATAATCATTGCCCCACTACACATTTATTCAAATATTAATATTTGTTCATAATAATGTTTTGAAATGATTGAATTTGTTTGCTAAAGAGTCAAATATTGACGAAAAGTTCGTGGGCATTTTTCAGAATGGAAGATTGTTGAAGATATTAAGTCGTTCATTGGAAGTAAATGGATAAACAATTTTCATTTTCAACTTTATAGAATTTAAATGCTGAGGTTAAATATTAAATTCTAAGCTGGCCAAATCAACTTAAATTATCCATAGGAAATCCAAAATTAGAACAATTCAACCAGTCACATCAAAATGGATTATATAATATTATAACTATAATTTAATCCTCTGTGGAAGACCCTGTGAAAGAGAGAGAATTCAAAACTAAATCATCACAAAGCAGATATTTTTAGCCTCAAACGCTGTTCTAATCATATCTTCAGAAATATATCATGCATTAAATCATTCCCCAACACAAACTTAATATACTTGGGATCAAATATCTCACAGATTATTTCAAGCTGAAAAGAAGAAAAAAGAAAAAGCTTGCACAGAGAGAGAGAGAGAGAGAGAGAGAGAGAGAGAGAGAGAGAGAGAGAGAGAGAGATGTTGAATTCTGTATTAACACAAATAGTTGGTAGTTTACAGTCGATGGTTGAGAAACACCAAGCCAAAGTTTGTTCACAAAACTAAAAACTTGATCCCGTTCCAATCCCAATCTCCCTAAAGAGAGAGGAAATAAAAAAGCCAGATAGATGACACACTCTCCCCCATCACCATATGACATCTTTCTATGGGTTATATATAATACAGATGCCGAAAATAGGGGTCGTGGGGATGATGGGGTATCACTCGGCAGCTAAAGCAAAATGTAAATTAGCGAGAACCCCGACATGCCAAATGAGCCCTTGAGGCTCAAACAGCTCTTGTTGAATTCAGTCATTCAAGTGCACGAGCAAGTTATCAGTACAAAGGACTTTTCACTTTGTGCCAATATTTTTTTTTCTGATCCGCGGCGGTGGTGAATTTGTAGTAGTAGGTATAAAGAATGTGATGTGGGGCACTTTAAACAAAAAAAAAGCAAAAAAATGACGCCAAGGCCAGTAAATTCAAATAACACTTACCCCAGAATGGTTGGCTTTCTTTCTTTCTTTCTTTCTTTCTTTCTTTCTATGTCTTCTTGGCCAAAATGGATTCACAAAGGCAGGATAGGATATAGACTCATATAGTTCTAACTTTTTCTCTCTCTCTTTTCTCACGCTGTTGAGGCCATACTCAACCTGATAAAAAGATAAAAAAAGAACATACAAAAAAACCAGGAAGAGCAGTATAAAGACAAAACAAAATATAAACAGAGCTCAGAAACAGCACTTAAATCTGTCTTTGAAAAGAAACATGCCTTATTACTGACTTCTGGATGGTTTCTGTCTTCACCCCACCTCCAGGATTCAGTGCCATCTCAAGCACAGCGTTTGGCTTCACATGTCAAACCAGAATAAAAGGAAAACATGTAAGGTAATAGAGAAATGGAAATTGAGATGCTTTTAGAAGGGTGATAACCAAGAAAAGAAATGAAAAACCACACCTCTGGCTCCATACGCAGGCCATCTCCATTTATGCAACTACTCTCCAAGTGAAGTTCAGAATCTGCCTCACACGAATCAACAACCGAGGTTCCGGGATTGTTGCTTTCATCGGCACTTCCTTCAATGCTCCCAGCATTGCCTTCACTACTGCCTGCTGCTGATGCAACCCCAACATTCTCACAGGAGCTACTTTCACTAGTTAAGGTAGTCATAACACTGGAATTTGACGCACATCTATGATCACTTTCAGTACAAGGAATTTTGTCTGGTTCAAATAGCTCTGCAGTAGACCCTTTATCACTCTCTACACTTCCAGATTCTTGCCCTGAAGAACCACTAAAAGTTAACTCTTGATTTTCCCGAGTGACAGTCTGCCACATACTATTCTTCTCATTGGCAGTTTTCAATTCAACATCAGATTCCGGTCGCTCAGAAGAAGCACTATTGGAAAACTGACTGATATTTTCAGATGAAACTGAGTCCTGTCTTCTAGGACTAATAGACTGCCGTTTTCGTGGAAAATAATGCTCCCCTTCAATCTGATCGCGATCACTTTTTCTCTTAAGGTATCTCTCACCAGCACTACTACAGTTCTGTATGTCTTCATGATGTGGTCCATCAGCACGTTGCAAGGCTGACAACCTTGAAGCACGAGATCGTCTATGACCTTCTGGAAACACAAAAGGAGGGATCTGCCTTCTGCGGACATGAGAGACAAAGATTTCCATTCCTGGTTTCCAGAACATGTACATATTTACAGAATGCTTGAATTCCTCAACTGTTGCACGTATATCAAACTGCTGACCCTCTTGAATTATCTCTCCCTGCTTCCTCTGCAAACCCATGAAGAAGGCACAATGGGCACATGGCTTGGATGTGTCAACATATTCATGTGGATAAGGATGGCACTGTAACTTTCCTAGAGTGTTCCTCTCTATCTGCAGACACGTGAAAACCATCGACAAAGGGAGAATAGAAATGCAAATGCTTCCAGGAGGAAAAAAAAAGTATTTACGTCACCCCATTCATTTAAAAGAAGATAGCATTACCATCAAAGTCAACTGCCGAAGCCGAGATTCTACCCATCCTTTCCAAGAGCGTAGGTCATCAGCATCAGCTGCAACTATATCAACTTGCAGATAGTTTTTATAGCTTTCAAAAAACAAATATGGCTCAAAAAGAGAACTCCACTGTGCTTTATTCAGTTCAATTTCCTGATGAAGTGAAATTTCACAAAAATTAAGAAATTAAATGCTGCCATAAGACAGAATGACAGGAGATACCTTTTGTCCTCTTCATCTCCCCCAATTAATAAATAATCACATAAGAATAAGTGTATGCATGCACAAATAATACCTCGCAAACTTTGTTACCAAATTGGAATTGTTCCATCATAACTCGAAGCGTACTTGTAGAAACATTGTAGCTAGAATTCATGCATGGATATGCCGGTGTTATAATGGGCATATGATGAGTTCTATCACGAGGGTTTTTACGGGGATCCCACACAGAGAACCCAAGATCATCCTCCTCAATCGCACACAACATTACTGGGTTGGGCCAACGCCACTGGGTATAGACCCTAAAAAATCGAGACAACAGCATACTGGGTACTGCATTTGGATAAAGCTGACAAACTCGTGCTACTAGAAGTGCCCAGTTTACGCCACCAAGAAACCCAGTCACCTGCTCATGCAAGTGAATAAAGGATTATAACAGAAAATAAATGTATCAACTAATCAATCATAAATGCATGCCATGTGGTATTAAAAGGGAGGCAAACTCACATTCGAATAAACACCACGCCTTTTTGCCCAAAACTTTAAGCATCTAAGTGCTGTTCGAAAATTCTACAACCACAGGATTAAAAGAATGAAGATTACCGTTTCCCGAACAGGAATGTTAGCGTGCAATAATTTCACTAAAAGAATGCAGTAAAAATAGCAAGCCACTCACCTCAATATTTGGAACAAGCTTTAGAATTTGATCAGCAACCCGACAACCATTAAGGCTACGAACAGTAGGCTCATCAACATTATATAGCACAGACACATCAGAGATATCCAAATCCTAAAAGTAAACATTGAAAACCAAAAACCAACACAATCTTCACAACCATACCACAAGGAAGTTCACATGAGCACGGTGATAAAACAAACAATTGCATCCATTATGTTCAAAAGCAATACAATTAGAATATGTCCTGCGACAATATAATGAATAAGTATGAAGGATCTGTTGTCACTTACTTCAGGCACAACCAAACAAGATATACTAGCATACAGTAGGTCAATAGATATCCCATCAAACTTGAATTTCATCACTGGGACATGAGCATCAGGAACTGGCTGCAACTCGGTCACTTCTTCCATTTCTTCCAAAATATTATGCAATATATAAAAGAAATCTTCCTGAAAAATAAAAAACAGACAAAAGGTTAGATCCTAAATAATAGACCATCTCAAGTAATAGGACAAAATTACTCAAATCTAGCACTCACCTCTCTGTTCACATAGGATGGCCCAACACATAATGTGTCTATGTCAGCTCCTGGTCCATGCACCTACAACAATACAAACTCATGCAATAGCTCATTGACAAGTATGAAACAAATACAAAAAGACCCCGCTACAGTATGTGAGACATGAACACAAAAAGAAAGAAAATTCTTTCACATTTTCAATATTATAGAGGTGTTCCGAAGAATTTGGGTCAAGGACAAATCTCATGAACAACTTGGCAGCCGCTATTTACTATTTGTTTAGAAGAGGAGGTAATTACTGCGACCAACATTTTGTTCTTGGCTTCTTGCAAATATCTTCTAGGCCTTTGAACTATATTGTTTGTGGAAAGCCAGATTCTATAAAATTATGGGCGCATTGGCAAAGGGTGGTTGCTGGGAAGAATAAGATTATTTGGGTCAATACCACTTTGACTACATGCTGGAAACTTTAGCATAATAAAAATTGCATGCTTTTTGGAGAGAACTCTAAGAATGGTGGAGAGGACCATGAGGTAAAGGGCCAGGTTTTTTTCTTCCTTAGCTTATGTCTTCTAGGTGGTGGTCCTAATCTGAACTTTTTTAAGTTAATATTGACAATAGAAAATTTGTTTCTYATACTCCTGTTATAACTTATGCATCATGCCAAATGTGTGTTATTGTAATCTTTTTTTGCATGAGATGGGATGGATGCCTTATCCTTCTCCTGTCCCTTAGTACATTACAAGATATTAATGAACTTTTTCTTATCTCCACAGACAAAGCATGTCATGCAATCTAAACAGATCAATTTGAATAAACTGATCAACATGATTCACCAACGGCTGCAAATTACTAGGGAAGATATGGGACAGGTGCACAATAAAATTGAAGGATGCATCACAACAAATGTGCAAATGTAATGGAAAAAAGCACCGAACTGTTTCAGTGCATAATGGAGAAGAAACACCAAAACATTAACCATGCTTACCCCAAGACGATAGGAACCAAAGGTAAAAATCACAGCATTTGCATCCTCCACCATTTGATCCGTATAACCTTTTATGCGAGTAAGTTGTTTTACCCAGTCTTTCACAATCTAGATAAGTATAAAAAGAGAGAGGGAAAAATAAAAATTCAGAGTTAGAAACCTAGCATACAAAGTTAAAAAGGRTCTCTATCAGCAAAAAATAAAAGATCAACCACTGCACCAATTTGCAGCTTTCGCTCTGAGAACTTCACAAACGTAGAAATTCTAATTTTTAGGATCATCAGACAGACAACATACTATTAGGAAAAAAAAAAATCATCTGTATGTAACAAAAGCCAGAGATATCCAACATTATAAACATAAGCAACAAACTACCATCTCTAATTGTGGTTGTGCAATAATTTTTCTACCTCCTGACGAGTTCCATCCATAATTGCAACTCCGGCAACTCAACATCCATATAAAGGAAAAGTAACTAAAGATTTTGTTCGACGGAATAAAGTTTATCACCTGTCCTATCCGGCAAAGAACCTCCTCCCTCTTGATAGATTCCTCTTTGCTTTCGTACAAGCCAGCATCAACCAGAAACTATAACACAATACGCCCAAAAAAAAAAGCAAAATTAACCCACCTAATTTCAAATCGTGCCCGGAAGATACCCACAATTCATCAATTAAAACCTTTTCAAGCTCCTTGCTTCTTTGAACATCAGCGTCACTAGGCCCCGCCAACGATATCGGCTTCGTCACACCATAGCACTTCGGCACCGCTTGATTAGCAGGTAACGGTGAATTTCTCAACCCCTCCGCGCTCCCCATCACGTATCCCAATGGAAAAAAAAAAGTTCCCCTACAGAAGCCTCAAACTGGTGAACAAAAATCTAAAATTCTCAATGCCCTAAACCAGAAACTGAAGAAAGCATCCCCCAACCAGAAGGAAACTGAGTCGAAATTCCAAACCACATAAAGATCAGACCCAAATGAAATAACCCGGAAGGAGATCAAACAAAACGACCACAAAAAAAAGATAGATTCAAGCCCTAAACCGCGAAGAACAGTACACACGATTTCCTATGAAGTAAAAGATTCCCAAAAATGCAGATCGCGAATGGAAACTCAAAAGGAAGTACCCAGAATATGGAAATTTGATCAAACGAAAAGGGAAAAAAAAAACGAAAACAGAAACCCAATTGGAATTAGAAACACGGAGGGACGGTGAAGGTGGAGGAACAGGGGGGAGAGAGAGAGCTGAGGAAAAATCGTCAGTTAAGATCGGTGCGGCCGTGTGGGTGAGCAGCGGCGGAAACTTGATAATTTCTATTTTCGTTTTCTTTTTATTAATTTTCCTTTTCCTTTTCCTTTTCCTTTTCCTTCTCCTTCTTTTAATTGATATCGGAGAAAATAAAATCATAATGAAAAATCTTATCCATTGTTATCACATGGCACTTTTATCTCACAATATTTTCCTTTAAATTTTATAATATCTAGACTTTATATTGTATTTGATCGTCTGAAAAGAAAATTGGGGAAATTTCGGATTGAGATTTGATTTAAATATATTCTGAGTTGTTATATAGTTTAGATATATTTTTTTTCCTTACATAAAAATTGATTTATTTATTTTATAGTTCAAAATTCTATTTATTAATATTACATAAATCTACCGTAATATCACATAAATTTTTTCTTCTTCTTCTTTTTTATACGAATACATTTTTTTCTTTAAGACTTATATTATACTCGAACAAAATATTCTGATATTTTTATTAAATAAAGATAAGATATTTTAAATATATATAACTTAAATTTTGATACGTAATATTATCTCCTCCTTGTCCTGATATGTTTCCTTCCAGAAAAAGAAAAGTTCTATCTATATTTTATTGAAGACATATTTTTCCCTTTTTATTTATTTTTTTCTCTTTTTAGTCCTTAATTTGGATAAAATTTCAAATTTTAAAAGGACTTTTAATTGGATAGAAAAATAAATATCTTTATAAAAAGAATAAAAAATAAAATACATGTCGCGTGATTTTCACGTGCTTGCCTTAGGAGGTAGATACGGCACAAAAATTATTGAATACTAAAAATATCTAAAAAGTTATTTCACGCGGTGCCTGTGGAGTTATTTATGGCTATGTCATTTAATTTCACACATTACCGCCACAAAACAATTAATTAGAATATCTAGGATTTTGTTTTCTTTTTAACTATTTATATATTAAAAATATTAATTTGGCAACTCTAGGTTTGAATTTTTTTTTATTCGTGCCGATTTGAGCTAATTTATTAAAGTATAAATCATCAATGAAAAAATCAAATCCTTAATTGGTTTCATTTAATTTTGTTAAACTGCACCATTTTTTTTCTGAGTACAAATATGGGGTGGGGATCAAATTCATAACCTTATGATTGTAGATATAGGTCAATTACGAACTATACACGCTTTGACTTAAACTGCATAATTGTTTATGTCATAATAAGTTATTATTGTATTAAATACGTGACGTTTTTCTTTATTTATGTGATGATGAAGTTGATGTCTTCTATTTGGGTAAGTAAAAAATGATTTAAAAGACAATTTACAAAAATTAACTAAACTGTTGGATGTCAAATTCCTAAGTTTTAAAATTATAGATGTCAAATTAAAATTAAATCAGACCTCACGGACTAAACCGGTATATACACACATGTTTGAATTCTCAATTATCAACAGAAAAACAAATACACAATTTTTTTTTAAAATTACTTCTTGATTTATAACTTTTTTTAGTATAATTGGGGAATTGAACTCACGATTTATTGATTTTAGATATATACTCATTACCGTTGAGTTGTGTGATTTATAACATTTAATTAACAATTTTAACACATTCATTTTCCACCCAAAAACAAAACAATCGTCAAAYCATTAATAATAATAAAACCTGTCTATTTTCCTCATTTTCATTTTTAATTAGACAAATGTGATTATATATATTTTTTTCCTTTTTATGTTCAAGCAAGACGTAGATAGAGCACGTAAAAATAAAAATATCGGATAAAGATTCGAACCTCAAAGTTTATAATATATTGATTATAACCAAATAAAATTTTGAATAAATAAAACCATGGGCATTTGAATTTTTATTTTGCTATGAAAAATCACCATCACTTTTGTCAACAGAAAAATAATAATATGAGCTGGTCAAAGAGGTGAGCTGTGTGACAGCTCAAGATTCTTTTTGAGCAAGATGGGCTATGAATATGGTCTTCCCTCCATTTGGGCTTTTTTAAGAATTGGTTGAGGAAATACTCAGAAGGCCCAGCCCAATGAAAAATCAACTCATACTTCACTTTCAGCCTTTTCAAAAAGTGGATGTGTATCTTCAAAAGCAAATAAAAGTACTACCATTAATTAAAATCGCAATGCTAATTATACAATATTTCCTCCCCAAAGGTATATTTGGAAAAGGAAAATAATCATTCATACGTTTTCCTTTTATCATCCATAGCTCTCCCGTTATTCCTCACCACATAGTTATGTTACACTTAGCTAATCACATCGTCTAATCGAGTAATTGACATCTCCCAAGCTTGATGATACTAGAAATGACCCTGATGGAAATAGGTAGTTCGACCTACCTCCGTACGAGATTGGATAAGCTACTTAGTTAAGTTAGACATGACATTCAACTAAAGAGGAGCAAAATTTAAGACATGATACGTATAGTTAACGTGTAGCCAACATCCACCAAGTTTAGTGTGGTTATATTAATAAACCATCTATTAGTTAACCAGTGGTAACATGTCAAATTTGACATTTGTGCGTGACTAGTGCAATGTGTTTGGGTATATAAAACATCCAATAGTCAACTTAAAGTGATATGATCAATGTCGAGTGAAGATACAATTGATGGTATAGAGTTGTTTTTTACATCGTCTTATCCTATCACAAACTAGTATCAACAATGAGTAAGACTAGACACTCAATAATCAACTCGAGACAATGAAGAAAGAGCAAAAGACATACCCAACAAACTTCATAGTGTGTTTGGTGCTATCTAGCACATCACACTAAGACAAATCCTCTAACATCGAATGATATTAATGGTTAACGTGTACAATTGTACCAAAAGCCTAGCCATTACCTCACAATAGGGGTAGATCCACTTGCATCATATGTCCCATTGGATTTTTGTTGTAATAATTATATTCACTCTTTTATATTATAATCACAAGGGACGATGATCACTCGAGACACACTTTCACTAATGCAACAAAAAATTGAGATTTCAATATAACTCAAACATCAGAGAATGTTTAACTTCTATCATATCTCGTTGTGAAGAAAAAAAAAAAAACTTGTTGCAAAGAATGTTGACATGACCCTAGCTAGACCAATTACGTCTGTGACCAAAATTTTTTAAACAACCTCTAAAAATAATGAACATTGTGCAAAAATTACTATTAACACGTCTATAACTTTGGAAGAAACAATCGTTACACAAAATAAGATATTTTTTTTAGAGATAAAAATATCTTACTTTTTGGTCCATGATATACGTCACAAAGAAGAGAATATGCTTACTCTCCACTAAACTATAGTCAGATTGACAATTAAAACTTAGCTACTTAAACATATTTCTACCCGGCCAATTACTTAAAATCAAAGTAGTTATACCTCTCATTAATGGATGACCTACGTTCTATTTTTTATCGTAGCTATCGTTTTACTATATTTACAACCCACCTATCTTTTTAAAAACCACTTCCCAAAACATTCATATGATATAGATTTTGACAAAACCATTCTCATATCAATCAAAGGAAAAAAACACACTTTTTGTGAAAACAAAAATCATTTATATCCCAAAATTATAGTCATCAAAATTCCCTTTTATGAGACTCCATAGATGTGTAATGCCACACAAAACCCAACTTTGATAAAATTGGAACAATGAGAGAAACTCCAAAATCAAGATCTCCACATCATCATATCTCATAATTTATTTCTGACAAAATAAAAAAATAAGGAAAATATAGTAAAAATATTAATTGATTTTTATTATGGTTTTTTTAACGTTGCTTTCCACTATCAATGTGGCCTGATCTCTCCCATCACCCATTCAAAATTTGAAATCACAAATCTTATAAGAATCTGGCTGTGGGTATTGCCACTGATTTTCAGCACTATTCTTTTCCATTCCAAAATTAGACCTCTGACTTGAATCAGAGAAAACAAAATTTCAGAAAATTTCAGAAAAATTCAAAATTAAAATTCAATAAATAGGGAATTTCAAATCCCAAAAAACTGCCATACCCTCTTCTTCTGAAGCTGTCTTTAGTTGAATCAGTACGTTGCCGATTGCGATTTATTAGACTTGTTTTTAGAAAGATCCCTTTCCTTTGAAAAGGGTTTCTTTTATTTTTCATTTTTTTTTTGGGTTTCAGAATCAAAAATGGCAGAGAAAAAAGAGGAACTGAGCAGTTTCATTGATGGGAAAAAATTTCTGAAAACTCTACGGATTCTGCAGAATCAGTCTCTGGTTTTCCATTGATTTCTTTGAGGCCAAAGAAGAAAGGAAAGCCTGTGGTTTTTGGAGGGATAAAGCGAAGCTACGAATCAATAGCTCTGTTTCTGTTAAGGGAATCTATTTGGCATTGCCATTGCCATTGGCAGCCATTGTTGCTCCTCTGAGCTTCCTTCTGGTTTGAACTGTTTTTTCTTCTCTTCAAAAATTTTCTTTCTTTTTTTTCCCTTCAAGAGTGAAGAGAATCACGGGGTTGTCAGTTTGTAAGTTTCATTTTAGTACACGTTGCTCCAGAAGCCTACAGAGTAGAGAGTAGAGAGTAGAGAGATTTTTTTTTTTTCTTTTAGGTTTCTAAGATTGGGCATTTTAGTGAAATACAGAAGGTGGGTTGGGTTTCTTTTTCTCTAGAAGTAATAAAGTTGCAATCTTTATTGGTTTTCTTTGTCTCTAATTGTTGTTCTGATTAGGGGTTTGAGTTTAAAAACTCCCCATTTTTCTCTCTTTTTTTGGTGGTCTGAATTTTTGTATGACGTCTTTTTGTCTTGTAATGCAGTTTTTTCACGAGATGCTGTCAGAAAAAAAAAGAAAAAAAGAATTTATTTTTTTCAAAAACTAGAAAACCCCATCTCTGTTTTGTTTTAAAAGGTTATTTAGATGCTTTGTGTTTGCCAATCCATACTTCTTCTCATCACTTTTGTGTCTGCAAAATGTTGAGTTTGTAACAAATCCTTCACTGTGTCTCTCTCCTTAAATTACACCTGGGTTTCTTTCTCATCTTTTGAATAAAAAATTTCTTTTTTTTTTCTCTCTCTTTGGGAAATAACTACTTGGGCTTGATTTTAGTATCTTTGGAAATGGGTTGCTCTTCTCTCTCTAGTTACCCAAATGCTAAAAATAGACACTTTCGACTTCTAGTGTTGGGTTCTCAATAAAACCCCCATCTTTCAAGTTTTGACATAATGCTTACGTTCTAAGCCCTCTCTCTCTCTCTCTCTCTCTCTCTCTAGGATCGTCATTTTTGGTGGGTTTTGCTTTGATTTGATTCTCTCTCTAAGATGGGGAAGGCTACAAGATGGTTGAAGGGTCTATTGGGGATGAAAAAAGAGAAGGACCCATCTGGGATTTCGAATTCCACGGCGGTCGCCGGCGCCGGCGACAGAAAGGAGAAGAAAAGGTGGAGCTTTGCGAAGTCCGGCAGGGATTCCGGCCACCCAATTCAAGCCTCTCCTCTGCAGGACTCTGCTTGGTTGAGATCCTACATTTCTGATTCGGAGAAAGAGCAGAACAAGCACGCAATTGCGGTGGCCGCTGCCACCGCCGCCGCCGCAGACGCCGCCGTGGCGGCGGCTCAGGCGGCGGTCGCCGTCGTCAGACTTACAAGCCAGGGAAGAGGGTCTCTGTACATCACCGGAAGAGATAGATGGGCAGCTGTGAAGATTCAAACAGTATTCAGGGGCTTTTTGGTAAGTGAAAAAAAGCTTCCATTTTTTCACACCCCTTTCTCAGCTTTAGCTCTGTTTTTTACAATACAAAGTTTTTTTTTTTTTTACAGGAATAATTGTACTTTTTACATGTATATTTGGTCCATGAAAATTACAAAACAGGGTACTTTTTTTTTTCTCTTTTTTCTTTTCACCTTCTGTAAATTCTCTCTTTTGTCTCCTTGAAAGCTGGGAAAAGAAAGAGCATAAAGTTTCATAATCTGAATCAAACAGTACAAAAAGTGTCAATGAAACAGTACATTCATCTGCTGACTTGTTCCGAAAAACTTTCTGATTCTTTTTTTGTTCTGCTTTTGGGGCCTCCATTTTTTCCCATTTCTGAAGCTTTCAAATTTAAAATTGCAGGCTAGAAAGGCCCTGAGAGCTCTTAAAGGGCTGGTTAAATTGCAGGCTGTGGTGAGGGGATTTCTTGTGAGGAAAAGAGCTGCTGCTACTCTTCACAGTATGCAGGCTCTTTTTCGAGCTCAAACTGCAGTTAGGACTCAAAGAGCTCGAAGATCTTTCAACAAAGAGAACAGGTTTATCCCTGAGATTCGGCCCCGAAAATCTGCGGTAAGAGTTCGATATCGAAACCGAAAACCGAGTGGTTTAGTTGATGTTTGTGTTGAGGGATTGATGATGAGTTTGTAATGTCTGGATTTTCAGGAACGGTTTGATGAATCAAGAAGTGAATTCCATAGCAAGAGGTTGTCAGTAGCATCATCCTACGAAACCTGCATCAACTCATTGGATGAGAGCCCGAAAATTGTCGAAATCGACACCTACAGAACCCGATCGAGGTCCCGTAGGTTCATCTCCGCTGCATTGTCCGAATGCGGGGGAGATGATGTTCCACTCCAAACAATCTCTTCGCCATCGCCATGTCCGAATCGACCTCGTGTGCCCGATTGCCATAATGTTGTTCTTCGTGACTTCGAATGGTGCTTAATGGGCGACGACTGCAAGTTCCCCACAGCTCACAGCACACCCCGGCTATCGAATTCTTTCGCTGCCTCCGCCAACGTGCCAGTCACGCCGTCGAAGAGTGTGTGCGGGGACAGCTTCTTCCGACCGTACATGAACTACCCGAATTATATGGCGAACACGCAGTCGTTTAAGGCGAAATTGAGGTCTCAAAGCGCCCCAAAGCAGAGGCCAGAGCCAGGGTCCAAGAAGAAGCTCTCATTGAATGAAATAATGGCAGCAAGAAGCAGCTTAAGCAGTGTAAAAATGCAGAGACCAAGCAATCAAATGCTCCAAGAAGAAGAAGAAGAGGAAGAAGAAGAAGAATTTGGTTTTTGAGTGATCTGTTAGTGAAATGGATCCTCTGTGTTTGTTTGTTTGTTTAATCTTAAACAAAAAATGGGATAGAAGAAGTTGAAATCTGTCTCAAAGCTTTGTTTTTTTTTTCTCCTTCCCACATTTTACTGTTAAATTTGAATGAATGAATGAGATAGATACCAACAAAGGGAGCTTGTAAATTCCTTTTTACCACTTCTCTCTGAACTCTCAAGTTCTCAAGATCTTCTGCAATCCAACAAATGTTGATGATTTATACTTACAAAGCAAAAAAGCAAAAAAAAAAGGTGCACTTTTTGGAGATTGTTGTTTGCTTCAAATGGACTCCACTTTTAAGGATTAAAGAGACAAGATTATGGCATGTCTTTGCTTCAACAACACTTGATTTGATTGGCTTACAACAATCTGGATTTTGAGTGAGTGAATCTTCCAAACCTCGTATGAGTTCAAAAATTCAAATCTGAAACAGTACAAGGGGTGAAATACCGAAAACACCCCCCAAGGACCTTCTCAACTGTTTCAAAAAGACTCGGAAAGGGAACCGCTACAACAACATTAAAGAAGTAATTTCCCCGAATTTTCCGGTATGTCTCTTCAGATTCAAACATTAAAGACTCAATTTTTATTTTTTTGAATAGAATAACAAAATTTGAAGTTTTAGGGGCCATGCTTACGTCATATATCTTTGTGATATCGAAATAACAGATGCATAATTATATAAAAAAAAATAAAAATCACCCTTTTCGAAAAGCACTAACATGTTCAATAACACAAATTCATTATCTAATAATTCTCTAATTGCAGATTAGGCCTCGGGCTTTGTGTTTTTTAAACTTTTTTTCACACAGATAGAGAGAGAAAGAGGAGAGAGAGAGAGAGAGAGAGTTATGGTACACTTGTAAACAGTGGAGGGCATGTGCCAAGCACTAAAGATTGGATTTTTTTTGGTGGGTTGTGCTCCAGATTTGTGAATTTGAATTCTGAATAAATTCACACTTTGGTCTGAGTTAATTTATAGGTTCAAGAAAAAGTGGGGACAAAAAATCTTATTAATTACCAAAGATTGCATAATTATTGTAACTACAACAATTTCTTAGTGTTAGGCTTATTATTGGCAGTACGGATTGGTCATTTGTTAATGTTAGGCCCATCCATCAGCATTAGTGAGTAGCCCACAAAGCCATCCCATCCCATCATTTAATTCCTTTTAAATACTATTTTTATCACGCTAAAATTATGATTAAAATAAACGAGATCAAAAAATGAAGACGAAGGGATCAAAATTAATGGTAATGTGAAAAAAGTACCGAAATCAAAGTCAAAGTAGATCGAGAATAGTATGCAAACTGAGTGCATAGTAATTTGAAAGGAAGCCATTAGACTTATTAATGGCATTAAAAGTTCACTTGGAATAGGACCATATGAATAGGCATAGATTTCTAGACCATATTTGGGTAGAAAATTTAGATGGTTCATCTACTTTGTTTGGCTGGAATTTATGCATACATTGAATCCGGATATATTTTCAATGTTTTTTCTTGACATTAAGGACTTAATTGTCAAACAAAAATTTATGGAGGACTAAATTGTAAACACAAGAAATCAGCATAGGGTCAAAAAATTTTAGTGGTTTGACTATAATAAATTTAAATCTTTCAATAAATTCTCAACAACCACCTCATATTGGGAAGAAAATGAAGTATGCTTTCTGATGGTCCAAAATTTAGTTCTACTGAATGGGCAAATAATAAACAGAAAACTTTGCCTTTTCAGAACAAATTTATATGTAAAAGCTTGAAGACTATAATGATATGTACTATTAACAGTAATGGATAGTTTACCATTATTATTACAACCCAAGATAGGCCAACAGTGATCATGTAAATAAGGACATTGTCTTTCTCCATACTTATTTTATAATGTTGAAAAAAAAAATAATAAATAAATAAATGTTTAACTACTATTTTGTTCATTATAATTTTTATTTGATCAGTATACTTTCCGTTTTGATCTATGTACTTTTAAAAAAAGTAACAATTTTGGTTCATATTTGTAAAAATGYAACACAAATTTTATATATAATAAAAACATTTTAATAGAAATTTATAGCTACATTGAAAAAAAATTTAGTGAGGAGAGTGTCATGTTAAAATTTTACTAGAATGAATGAGATAAAAACAAAAATGAAGGTAGCAACATAGTCATTTTTCTTGTATGAATATTTCGAAAATATAAGAACTAAAATGAATAAAAGTTAAAATATATGGATCAAAATGGACGTTTTAAAAGTATAGAATCCAAAATAAATTAAAGTCGAAACTATATATATATTAAACCAAAACTAAATAATAAAATAGGGTTGTTTTTTAGTACAACGAATGTGAAAATGAAAGATCGAATCAGAATGAACAAGATATCGTGACGTCTCAACTTAGTTGGGAAAATATAGTAGGAATTTAAACTTTAAACTCAAATCTCTTATTCCGTGATAACATTAAACTACTATATTTCAAAAATATAAATGGATGAGATCAACAGTTTTTGAAAAGGGCAGAGCAAATATTTTTTGTGTTGTCTTTTAAAAAATGTTTGTTTTTTTCCCCTCATTCAGTTGCCTATTTCCAAAAGGGAATCTGCATTATTCTATGGGCTCCAATTCCCAGACCATTCCCCCATGTTGATTGTAATATTGTACTCTGAAGTATTTGAAAACATCAACAGTGAATCATCAACATCACAATTCAATCCACAATACAAATGTAAGGTTCTTATTTTATTCCAATGTTTAAAAGTTTTTCAACATTTACACAGGTTTTCCCTTCTCTCCAGGAAGATTGAGTGTTCACTTCATCAATAAGCTTCCAATTCCATTCTTATCAGAAATTTGGGTGTTCTATGACAGAAATAAAATGATTGAATGGGAGGGAGGAGGAGAAAATTAAATGGAAAACAACATCTATTCAACAAATAATGTTTGTTTTTGTGTACATTTAACGATGATGAGGACAAGATCTTTCGTTACGGAGCCAAGTATTTTCCATTTGAATTCTAACGGGAGAGTGATTTTCCATTTGCAAGATAAACTCAAAATTGAAACCAAGTACACCGCTGATAAATATGGAATCAAATAGAATGAATGGAAGAACAAAACAAACAACGATAAGGAATTAAATCAAACCAAAATCAAAATTTGTGAATGGAACTGTAAAATTGAGGAGCCAAGGCCTACAAACCCTGTTCGATCAGGTAGTCTCCCAACCTTTCAACGACCATGTTGCATTGGCCTGGAGTCAAAGGTTCATCATATATACCAATAATCAGAGCCTTCTCAGTTTTCTTCACAGTGATCCCACCAGCGCCCTATCGAATAATCAAATTGACCAAGATGTATTCAATAACAATGCAATGGAAAATTCCCACTTTTCTCATAAGATTCAAGAACAAAAGAAAACTATGGATTTAGAAGCAGAAAACCAACCTTTTTCCCACGAACAACAGATCCAGGCTCTCCCTGGATAACCATGTATTTTGTGCCACCAAGATGTAATCCAGTCAGGGCAAGAGATCCAGGCTCATCCAAATCCTTCATGATAGCCGAAATCTCATCCGGCTTAAACTGCAAAATTCCATAGAAATTATGCCATAAATACCTCGAGCAGGTTAACAACAAAATTTAATTATATGGCACGGCGATACAAAAATTAGTAATCATCACATGATCAATCTCCGCACGAATCAACTACGACAATGAAAAAAAAAGGAAAATCAAATACGTCACAGGAAGAAATTCTTCACTAATTTATGAATCACGAACTTGCGTTAATATTGAACCGTGCCGTAATTTTCACGATAGATATGTTCCTATCAATTCCTAATCCAACGGATTTCGCATCTCAACCGAAGAGATTACGATCAATCAGTTTAATCCAAAGAGAAAGAATAAAATTATACATTCCTCTTCATGCATCACTCCAACAGATAATTTTCAACAAGCAAAAACGAATCGGACAGAGTATCCGCTCAAATCAAATCAACAACAGAGGTCTCCATGTAATTCTATACCTCTCGTACGATAAAACTCAAAAAGTAAATGATAAATCACGAAATAAAACAAAACGAAAAGCGCATTTTAGGGCCAGATCCGATAACAGAATTACACGGACAATAACAAAATAAAACGTAATCGAAAACGGCGATCACCGTAGGGAAGGAGGAGCTCTGGGCCCAGACACTGCCGTCGTGTCCGATGATGGCGGCGGAGGTGAGATGGTTGCCTTCGATCTCACACATGAGGTGATCGTCGACGTACGTTTGCCATGACATTTTCAAGCTTCACCGTAAGAACTTGGAATTATGGAAATGGATTCGCTCCAAAATTTTTCTTTCTGGTTCTCTCTTTCTCGCACTCGGCTTCGCGTATGGTATGGCTCTGAGATATATAAATAGATGGATTTGGAAAAATAAATTGAAGAATAAATAAATAAATAACCAACCAGAAATCTGAGAAACGAACTGTGGCGCGACCGTTGTGATCCAAGGAGTGGCTTTCACGTTCACCATTCATCATGG